AGAAATGTGAACATGACAATTGTCCTCCTTAATTATGGGATGCAAGACTTTATGAAGAACTCTTGTCTCTCCCAAGCATGGGATTCAGTAAGAATTACTCTATGGAGTAATTGGAAAAAAAATATTACTCCTGAGATTAGCGAGTAGATTGAAGAGAGGTGTTCCTATCAATTTTGGAAATGCTTTTATATTGCGAAAATGAGATAATGAAGCAATGCTTCTCTATCATCTCATCTAATAATATGGTATAAAGAAACAAACTAGTTTTACAGTAATGTTATACAGAACCTTTTTCCCCCCTTCACTTTCAGTTCACTTCAACCGCTATTAGGTATTTCTTTATTGATGGCATAATCACGGTGTGTATTATTTATCCCCATTATGTAATTGTTATATTTCATCAACTAAAAATGCCAGCTGGGACTTGTGCATGCTGCATAGATTCTATTTTATTTTTACAAGAGGGCAAACAAAATGAGATAGCAACTTTCTCCTGTCTCACATCATGATATATAAGCTTATTGCCTTTACACTGACCTCCAGAGGAAAGGTAGAGAACAATGGAAAACATTTATACTTCAACAATATTCACATCCACTAATAAGAGCGTGCATTTAAGACAACTGCCTTTCCTACAAATGGGAGCCCCCTTTCTCTTATACTACTTACTCAAAAGTAAACCCATCCAACAGATCAGACCCCCAGGTATGTTACACGTGGAAGAATTGTCCTAGTGGTATACATTTTGAGGCAGTTGATTACACTTCTATGACTATCAATGAATATTTTCGAGAAGGCTTATAGATTCAGTCAAGCAAAGCAAAAGGTGAAAAGTATAAAATGCCATAACAAAAACGCTAAAGAATAGAAAATGCAACCTAAAAGAATTTTCTTTTAACCAATGCTCTTTATATAAAAATAAATGCATGCACACACAAATGCACACTACTGATCGTCTCTAATAAATAAATAAAATAAATTTATTTTAATAAAACACAGCTAGAGCTGCAAGGAATGCCCAATACTCACGCTGACCCTCATCTTGTTTGTATCACTTTGCACCACTATCTCCCATCATTTCAAAGTCCATACTAAAACTGGCTTTTCATTTCTGCTGCAAGGCAATGGAGCCAGGCACACCATTTAAAAGTCTGCTGGTGAGCCTCAGCTGTCTAATCCTGCCCTCCTTTTGCAGTACCGAGAAGTCATCTTTTTGGAGTGAAATGAACAGCCTTCCTTGGGGTGGGCGGAGGGAGGAAGGATTGCTGGATGTGTGTGGCGTGTCCAAATCACATCACCCACTGAAATTCTCCCCCTGGATTGCAACTGGCTTGCAGTTTTCTTTCATGCAGATGAAGGTCTCCCCAGGAGGCAAAGGACATCAGCTCCCACTCTAAGAATCCATATTCAGCAGAAAGACTGCATATGGCTAAGAGATATGGTCTTTGAGCTGTACTTCACAGCAGCCTTCTAACACTGCAGCCAAAGTTGCCGGGTTTTCTGGTTTTCTGATGGGGGTTTTTACTTCTCATTTTTTCAGCACCGCTACCTCAGGAGTTTCCCTTTTAAATTCCAAGTAGAGGCTGAATAATAACATCTTTAAACAGGGCAGGGAGGGAGGGCGGGGAGAGAGAATATATATTAGAAGGAACAAAGCCATGCCAGAGCCATTTAAAAAAAAAAATACTTTCACTGAGGCCTGCCTATTCAAATGGGCCATCTGTCCTAGGCTGGCATCTGCAATGTAAATCACTTCAAAAAGAAAAAGAAAAAACCCTCAGCCCCATAGTGTGGGTTGGAAGGACTTGCATAGATCTTTAAAAGAGCTGGAGAAACTCTTTCAAGATATCACCAGTTTCAAAAGCGAGACTAAGGGAGAAAACTTTCTCCTATGTAGGTTCCAAACTATGGATGATGATGATGATATCATCCATTCAATCATATTTGACTCTTGGTAGTTTTATGGCCAGGTCTCTCCACAATTTCCAATCCTGCACTACTTCTTTGAAGCTATGGGATGAACCTTCAAAGCTGTGCATTTGGGGCTCCCTTCTCCTGGTTTCCAGGGAAATTCCAAAACCACACCACTTTCTTTTATTAATTGATTTAATATTTTCTTGATACTGATCTTACATTTTAAACCATTTGTATGGTTCCCTAATTAGAATAGTGTGACTCTGGTTGGCATATAACCTCTTTGATTTCTTGACTTAAGGGACCCAAAACCTACAACCATTTGGTCTTGGTAGAATTGAGCCATGGCCTATTCTTCCCCATCTTTCTCCACAGCTTCCAGACATTGGACAGAACTATAACAGCCTCACTTGATCACAAGAACTAGAGAGATATAATTGAGTGTCATCAGCATGCCTTACCTCAGCAGCTTCATGTAGATGGTTAAAAAAAAAAGCTGGGAGAAGGTAAAGAAGGGGTCTATGGTTGGACAGCTTCCCCCCACCAAAACTGACTGGAACTGGTCAGAGGAAGGAAGAAAACCACCACACTATGTCACCCTCTCCCAAACTCTTCAGTTCACTTTCTGGACTCACTCAGTCCACAAAGATACCATGGTTGATGGAATGGAAGGCCACCAAGAAGTTAAGAAGATCCACAATGGATGCACTACCCCATCTTGAATTTGTCTCCTCTAGTACAAAACAATGAAGAATCATCCCTTCTTATGGTTTCTGGTATTTTGCTTGTTGTGTACCTTTCCAGTGAGAAACATGCATGAGGACCAAATTAGCAGGATCTATTTTCAGTGGGACTGGTCCTCTTTTCTTTGAAAGAAAGGCAGAGTGTGGACAAAGTGGAAATGTTTTGTCTCTTGCACATGGAAAAGAGAAGGCTTTAGGAATAGTAAAAAAAAAAAAATGTTGTTGAAGCCTTTCATGCTGGATCCCTTGACCCTTTGGAGTGGATTTGGTTTATAGGTGAAAGTTTCCAATTCCAGGAACAAAATGTTCCCAGAACAGGGAATGGCTGACTACAGAATAGTTACAGGTCACACTTGTGTCTTCTAGAGTAGTGCTTTAGAACAGGAGTCTCCAACCCTCAGGCTGTGGCCCATGAGCCATTCAGAACCAGGCCATGGAAGTGGTGGGCATGCGTGTGCACACCTGCATCCACACTTGTGTGAGCATTGGCTAGGAGCATACCCGCTGCTCGCACAAATGGAACTGCGCGCATGCATGTGCTTACCCGCCACTTGTGTAGAACCATTCCCTCCCCCCATTCACATTTTCAAAGAACCTGATTCTCACTACAAAAGAACCCCCCCCCACACACACTTTTTCCAAGAAAGAACAAGATCTGAGCTGAGAATGAAGTGTTCACAATGTTTAATTCCTATCCTTTCAAGAAGGTCAAGAAATGTGATTCTGGATTTTGTGTCTTACAAATCTACTCTAGAGGACTAGTGTGATGATGAGGTATATACATATGCTGTATATAGCATGTTTATATGTGTGCTATGTATGTTTACACTTTTGAGAGCAAGCAACAGAATTTCATTTTTAATGAGTGCCAATGTGCCCATGGTAAAAAATGACAATAAAGTTATCTTATCTAATAAGGTTTACTTATCACAAATCAGCCTTCCAGTTTGACAAATATTTTAACAACTTACATGCCTCAACATCTCAGAAGAGCCTTTTTCTAGAACTTGATTCAAACAACTAGACTCCATCGTAAGACAAGGGAGGTTTCATGGGGTCCCAGTTGAAGAAAGATTGTCCATCTGTGGAGCACCAGCCACTGAAGATACTGGACACATTCTTATTGACTGCAAATGGTACTCTGCAGAAAGGTCCCTTATTTAGACCCTTAATTTAAAAACTAAAAAATATTGGGAGGTAACTGGGAGAAATTGTCCTGCTTATTGCAGGGAACAAACCTGCCAATCATCAATAAGACTGCACTCTTCATTTCAAAGTGTTTTTGCTTTTCAAAATTTTTTTGCATTTTAAAGGCCATCTCAAAGAGGACAGAATACCTTGATCAGATTGGAGTTAACCATCGGGATGACAATCTGTTATGAAGTTTTGCTTTACCTATTTGCATTTTTGTATCATCATGCATGCATCCTTTGCTCAAGTGGACCCTGGAATCATAAAATGTGATTTTTGAGAGTGCTATCTCTAGCAATGACTCAGGGGTTAAAAAAGATGAGCTTATCAGCTGGTAAATTAACAGCCCAGAGTTTGAGATTCGGGTGCCACACAATGGAGTAAGTTCCCTTTCTTTGTCCCAACTCCTGCCCACCTAGCAGTTTGAAAGCATGCAAATGTGATAGATTAATAGGTCCCAGCTTGGTGGGAAGATAACAGCGTTCTATGTGCCTTTGGCATATAGCCATGCTGGCCACATGACCATGGATAATGTCTTTGGACAATGCCAGCTCTCTCAGCTAAGAAACAGAGATGAGTGCCCTAGAGTCAGACATGACTGGACAGGGAAACCTTTATCTCCAGTTTAAGACTTGATGAAGCCAACTGTTCTCCTAAAACATCTAAGTCAACGTACAGTAAGACAACCTCCACAATAAAAATTTATCATCAGCTTAGAAGCATTTATGTCAGCCATTGAGAAACATCCATACCAAGCAAAACAAAACAAAACTCTCTTATCAGCCTTTTCCTAACCATTCAGGTACGAATTTTATCATTATTATATTCTTATTTCTCCATTGGTTCTTCAATAATATTTTAGATTTCTCCAAAACAGCCTTATAATGTTAACAGTGCAAGCCTATAAATAAGCATAGGAATGCTATATAAGAATTTTAGTCTCTGCGGGTTTATTCACAAACCACTCTAATTATGTCCAACAAAACTTACTGGATGTTTAAGCTCCCTTAAGCTGCTGTCACAGAGACACACTTCTCTGCAATTAAGTCCCACTGATTTCCATGATCTTTTGAATATCTGTACAAGACTGGAACACACATCTCTTGACTCACGTTTCAAAGATTTCTGCTATGAAAATCCCCCTGAATTTACCTTTGCAAGTGTGCCGAATCCAATACTTCTATCCATAGTTGTAAGAGACACCACTTCCTGAATCATCATCAATCATCAAAGCAGGACAGTTGAGTTTCGCAAGAAGGCTGAGGTCAGAAGTGTTTTGAGAAAAAGGATCTGAAATCATATCCCTCTAAAGGCGTCCCAGTCAAAGGAATTTCTATCTCTTTCAGCTAAGCTGAAAACCATCAGTGCAAAATGATCAGAACACAGGCGGGAGTCCAGTTTTAAAATGAGTTGAACTCTCATGACTGATTGCAGCTTTATTTCAAGTAACCACACACAGGAAAAAAAAAACTTTTTGCTTTGCTTCATCTTCCTGTAGTTCCTATTTTAGACAACAAGTAGGAAGAACTCTAAGGCTTGCTAGCTGTAAACATATTGCAAGAGGCGGCATGTTTGCTTTCCTAGTGGGAATAATGCTTTTAAGAACCACCTGGATGAAATGTCTTTGATGTTTCGGATCTAGCTCTGAAACTATCCAAAGCTGGATTAAGACTTGAAAGATTGACTTTAAGATTTCATGCTTTGGATTTAAAGAGGGCTGTTGGAAGCAGGGGATTAGGATGTGTGTACAATGTAACACCTTCATCATGGTTAATGTCTATGCACAGGTAAATCCTAGGGCAATTCAGTAGAATTGATTTTCTAGGAAAAAAGGCATCTGTCTTACCAAACTTGTTTTTATTTCAAAAATGCCTATGGCACACTTCAGAACAAAACTTTCACCGAGTGCCTAAAACAAAGTAAAAAATTAAAAACATAACATATAAACAATAACAAATAAAAGAAAGCTTTCCCCCAAAAAACTTGCATGTAAAATATTAACATATGTAAAGACCCAGAATGGTGAAAAGAACTTTTGTTCTGGAAAGACAATAAAGTCAGTGCCAGATATACCTTGCTTCAGATGTGGGGATAACCATTCAGGAAACCTCAGTAGTGGAAGCTATTTGTCTCCCAAATCTTTAGGAAATAAGTAAAAATGTACTGTATTGAAAGAGACATTCCTTCACATTCTTTAGACCAGTGGTTCTCAACCTTTCTAATGCCACGACCCCATAATACAGTTCCCCATGTTGTGGTGACCCCCAACCACTTATACATCATCGGGTGCCAGGGGCGTGGCCAAAGAAAAGGGGACAAAAATGGTGGACAGCCTTGTTTGGTGATCCCCGTGAAATGGTTGTTCGACCCCAAATGGGGTCCCGACCCACAGGTTGAGAACCACTGCTTTAGACCAACTTTTTCACACTTGTCAACATGAAGATGTGTGGACTTCAACTTCTCCATGCCGGGTGGGGAATTCAGAGATGAAGTAAGACTTGACAGACTTGAACACTGGGCGCTATCTAACAAAATGAAACTCGATGGTGAAAAAAGTAAGGTTCTACATTTAGGCAAGAAAAACCAAATGCATAGGTATAGTATAGGTGGTACCTGGCTCAATAGTAGTAACTAGAAAAATAGTAGTAAATAGAGGGATTTTGGAGTCCTAGTGGACAATCACTTAAATATGAGCCAGCAGTGTGCTACAACTGCCAAAAAAGCCAACATAGTTCTATGCTGCATTAACAGAGGGATAGAATCAAGATCAGGTGAAGTATTAATATCACTTTATAATGCCTTGGTAAGGTCACACTTGGAATACTACATCTAGTTTTGGTCGCTATGATGTAAAAAAGATGTTGAGACTCTAGAAAGAGTGCAGAGAAGAGCAACAAAGATGATCAGGGGACTGGAGGCTAAAACACATAAAGAACGGTTGCTGGAATTGGGCATGTTTAGTTTAATGAAAATAAGGATGAAAGGTGACATGATAGCAGTGTTCCAATATCTTCGGGGTTGCCACAAAGAAGAGAGAGTCAAGCTATTCTCCAAAGCACTTGAAGGCAGGACAAAGAGCAATGGATGGAAACTAATCAAGGAGAGAAGCAACCTAGAACTAAGGAGAAATGTCCTGACTGTTAGAAGAATTAGTCAGTGCCTCCAGAAGTTGTGAATGCTCCAACACTGGAAGTTTTTAAGAAGAGACTGGACAGCCATTTGTCTGAAATGGTATAGGGTTTCCTGCCTGAGCAGGGGGTTGGACTAGAAGATCTCCAAGGTCCCTTCCAACTCTGTTATTCTGTTATTCTATTAAGTCCACAGGTTTTAAAAGTTTCCAAGTTTGAAAAAACTCAGCTTTAGATATTAAGATCGAAGGTGTAAAACTGTAAAGACAAAAAGTTCATCAAAGACCTAGTTCCAGTTAAAGAGCTTGTGAGTGGTGTAATGTTTAAGGAGTTGGGCAAGGATGAGGGAGGCGCAGATTTAAGTCCCTACTCAGTCATGGTAATTCATTTGAGTCAGTCCAAACTGGTTTGTTATAGAGATAAAGTGAAGGTCCCATGTAATAAGCTTCTCAAACAGAGTTTCTCAACCTCTTTAAGATGTGAGGACCTCAGCTTCCAAAAATTGAATGGGGAGCTGTCTGAGGAATTCTGGAAGCTGAAGCTGACACATCTTAAATACTGTTCTAGAGAAAATGTAGAACATAAGGAAAATGACCTTAATGGAGATATATAAGATGAAGCAAAAGGCGGTAAAGCTAACTTTAAGTCCACAAAGATAGATACCTCACTAATTTACTGAACCAGAAGTATAATACTATAATAAGCTAATTTATGAAACTATAAATAGGACACAGACTTAAAAGATTCTGTTATTATAGCCCATCACAATAAAAGTAGTTTTAGTCTTCCTGTGGAGTTGATTTCTTGCTCTACTCTACCTAGACAGAAATACAGGTATAAATCTAGCAAATAAAAATGTACTTTTCCTTCTGTATTTTATACTAACTGGAGCTGTTGAATTGTCATTAAGGGCAACCCCATGCAGAATGCATTGTAGTAATCTAAATGGTAAGTTATCAGGCCCTGCTGAAGGTATTTTTAAGTAGGACTGCTTGTAAAAAGCTTTTTGTATCAGAAAAGGCACATGTGCTTTTAATGACAGATAAAACCATAGAATAACAGAGATGGAAGGGAACTTGAAAGTCTTCTAGTCTAACTCACTGCTTGAGACCCTATACCAATGATGGTGAACCTTTTAGAGACCAAGTGACCGAAAACCTCACCACTCCTTCCTGCCCCCACCTCTGCCCCTGCTCTGCCCCCCCCACTCCTGCCCCCCCTGCCCTGCCCTGCCCTGCCCCCCACCCCACCCGCCCACCCGCAGGGCCACCAACCGCCTCCACGGCCCGCCGCAGATTGCCCAGGCGGCCTAGCAGCACTATGGTAGCCATGCCCTCTGCCTGTGCCCTGCAGCATCATCTGTACACGACGGGGCGCGAGGGTGAAGTCTTATCCCTGCTGCCCGGCTGCCATGTCCTTGGCTGCGCTGCTCCGCGTGGGCCACACCTGGGGGCGACTCTCCTCCAGAGGTGTTGCTGGTGAGGAGGGGGCCATGGGGGGAAGTGGGGCTATGGCGACGGGGCGCATGCCCACAGAGAGGGCTGCGAGCACTGCCTCTGGCACGCGTGCCATAAGTTCGCCACCACTGTCCTATACCATTCCAGATAAATGCTTGTCCAATCTATTTTTGAAAACCTCCAGTAATAGAGTACCCACAGCTTGCAGAGACAAGCTGTTCCATTTGCAGAGGCAAGCATTGGAAGATTCCTATCCCCCCCACCCCCGCTCCAGTCCTTCTCTTTGTTAGACTAGACCAGGGGTTCTCAACCTTGGCAACTTTAAGACTTGTGGACTTCAACTCCCAGAATCCCTCAGCCAGCTTTGCTGGCTGAGGAATTCTGGGAGTTGAAGTCCACAAGTCTTAAAGTTGCCAAGGTTGAGAACCTCTGGACTAGACTTACCTAGTTCCTGCAAATGTTCTTCATATGGTTTAATCTCCAGTCTCCTAATCATCTTTGTTGCTGTTCTCTAAAGTCTCATCATCTTTTTTGCATTGTGATGATTGGAAGTGCACACAGTATTCTAAGTGTGGTCTTACTAGTGTAGTATAAAGCAGTACTATAAAATTCTTAGAGTATTAATTTGACCCTTTAGAATGAGTGCAATCTTTTCCAAGAACAGAATGATAACTTATCTCGTTTGTGAAACCATCTACTAATATCTCCTTTGGGTTTTTTTTTTCTGAACTGTGTTTCAATTCTATGACATAGGAACTCAGCCATATTATAACAGTCCACTTGTCTGCAGTTTTCTCAATAAACATTGTAGTAAATTCACTAATCTCATCCGAATCTGCGAAGGAGTGCAGCATGTAGCAACTGTTTTTGCATTACCCACCCCCAGACTACAAAGTCATACCACCAAGCCAGTCTTACTGAGACAAGGCCAAGAGTGGGTGATCAATCAAGAAGAGCTTCAAGCCAATTCCCACAGGCTCCATCAAATCTTTCCCCTTCTGGCCAGTTCCCCTCCAAATATTCTAAAAAGCTCATAGTTCTCCCAGGGCAGCTGATCCCTCTCTCTCATACACTTGGGCTTGAACCGTGGAAATGGAGGGTATGATTGTGTATCACATTTGTTTAATTATTAATCGCATTGTTAACTTTCCCCATCCCTTTATCTCAAACTATGGTTTATTTTTCCTTAGGCTTTTTTTTTTTCTCTGTCTCCACATCTGCTGGGTACATGCTGAAAATAAGAGTAAGCAGGTAAAATGAAAGTAAATCAGCTGCAGATGGTCCCCTCCTCATCTTTAATTTATACCCGACAGGTAAGGTGACCAACTTTTTTACAATGAAAAGGAGGACACAAATAAATTGAAGAAAAAATATCGTAAATAAAAGAAACATTTTATTCATTGCAACAATACAGAATACACTATAATATAATAAATGCATAATAAAAAACATTTGTAACAATAACATTTTATATTGCAATTATGCTTACATGCCGCAACCCCGCCCGGAGCTGCCCTGCCAGCATTGCTTCCCCATGTAGAGCGGCCCCCGTGGCTCCCAAAGCACCAGCTGCGCCAGCTCCGGCCCCGGGGGCGGCAGCCCATCGACACACCCCGCCTGCAGCCGCCCCGCCAGCACTACTACCCACCCTGCACAGCCCCGTGTAGAGCAGGCCCCGCGGCTCCCACAGCACAGGGGGCAGCTGGCCACTGCTGCCCCTCACACCCCCGCCCACAGCAGCCCCGCCACCCCTGCCTCTGGTGCCCACAGCCATTATTGCCCTAGCAAGGCCGAGGATCAAGAGAAAGTTACTGTGGCGTTGCCGCTCCAGTCTCCTCCAGGTATCTTCGGGACTAACTAGGAGATGGTGTAGTTGGGTAGCAGGGAGGGATGCAAAATTCCTGCCAATTTGCCTTCGCTGCAGACAACTTACATGTGCAAAGTTTGTCGGCCAGGTGTTTTGGCACGCTCAGCAGCAATTCCTATTGGCTTTGGAAAGCCAATAGGGGGAATAGCACAGCTCATGCAAAAGTTGAAAAAAAAAACATCAAAAAAAAAAGGTGCCGGAACGCCGTTCTGAGCATTCTATGAGAAAAAAAAGCCCTGCAGATTAGTCTTCAAATATCGAAAAGGAGGACATGTAGGACACTTTTCGAGGGAGGACAGAACTCACAAAAGGAGGACTGTCCTCCCTAAAGGAGGACGGTTGGTCACCTTACGACGGGGGCATTTAGAGCTGTCATCTAGAACTGTTTCTGGAACAAAGGGGGTTTAGAAATGGCTGCTGAGCCATGCATTTGTCTCTTCTGCTTCACTCACTTTTTTGGTATTAAATTATTAAATATTATTTCCTGATCGTTATTCACTCTTAGGTGCCTAGTCCAGAGGTGTCAAACTGCTGGCCCATGGGCCGGATGCGTCATCTGGAAGCCGTGCCCACCTCATTGCTGACAGTGGCAAAACCATCCCGATACGTTGCACAATGTCATGTGACGTCACGAGTTTGACATGTCTGGCCTAGTCGGATTTTTGGGGACAAACGTTCCAGGCCCGGTGGCCCTTGAATAAGATGCCCCTAAATGGTGGACACTATTGCTATTGCTCAATCCCTTGCTTCAACTATGTCCAATTTAAAATTCTCTCCAATGGGGGGAAAAAGCATCTAGAGGGTATTGCTTCTTCTTGTTGCAGTGTTCGTACATTAGCCTAATCCTGGTTTACTCAACACTTTTCCTGGTTTTCATGAAATGATGAAATACAGGTAGTCCTTGACTTTCAACCACAATTGAGTCCAACATTTCTGTTGTTAATTGAGACATTTGTTAAGTGAGTTTTGCTCCATTTTATGACCTTTCTTGCCACAGCTGTTAAGTCAATCACTGCAGTTAAGTTAGTAGCATGCTTGCTAAGTGAATCTGGGTTTCACATGACCTTGGGACACAGCAACGGTCATAACCACAAACCAGTTGCCAAGCATCTGATCACATGATCATGGGGATGCTCCAAAGGTGGTAACCATGAAAAATGGTCATAAGTCATGTTTTTCAATGCTGTTATAACTTTGAGTGGTCACTAAATGAACTGTTAAGTCGAGGACAGCCCACTAAGCTAAAATATGGCTGGCTTGTGGTTCAAATTCATGCAAACACAACCATCTGAAGATAGACAATCTCCAACTCCCATTAGAACTAGACAGCAATTGTTAATGTGTGACAGTTCTAATCCCAAGTGTGAGAAATGTAACCCCAAAATCAGTAGATCTGACAGTCCCTTCCTCTTTTTGAATTGTTTACACAACATTCAACAGGCTTACTTCCTGTTAGAAATAAGTCTGTTTTAATGCTTCTCTGGAATAAAATTACTTTTGTCAAGACTGTCTTAAAAGCAAGGCTTTGGGAAGCTGAGAGGAGTATTGGTGCAATATCACTGCTCATTTTCAAATTTGCTATTTTGCACTAAGCCAACTACATAATTTAGCACCTTGTGTGAACTTAGCCATTGTGGTTTATAAAATGTTTATTGTTCAAATCTTAACTATTTGCAGCTTACTAAACTATGTCCTAGGGTACTCTTTGAGCAAAATATCATCCCATACAAACATTGTTTCTCAGTTGACACAAGGAATATGCCTTGACTCTAAATGTTCTTATGTGAAAATTCAGTCTGGAAAATAAACTATATTGGCTGAATATTTAAGAGTATGTCTGAATAGCTTATCTGTAAATGAAGGGGGATGAAGATGAACTTGTTTTAATACATTTTTTATTAGCTGTACTGTTTTTCCTAGCATATTATCCATTCCAAGTCTTAGAACAGATTAAATTCCAATTTGCAGTTTGTTTGTTATGTATAGCTTAGTGATGAAATGTCATCTTCAAACCATTCTTAGCTCAGAGAAGGCACGTGATTAACCAAAACTTCTTAGATGTATTTTGCAGTCATAACATGTGTTCCTTATTTGGGATTATGATGCAGAAACAACAAATAGTTAATTCTAAGAAAACAAAGACACACTGCTGTAAGAATCAGTTTTAATAAGAGAACTATAGGCTAGCAGAGGTAAATCATCTAAAGAATAATAAAACATTAAAGTACAGTACAAAATTACAAGTCAGAACTAGGCAATTACTTGTATATCCAAGGAAATCAAGAATATTAAATGTTTTGTTAAAAACACAAAACCAAAAGATTTTCAAGTGGTAAAAATGGGCGGACTTGTACACTTAAGAAAAAAATTAAGTTTACGGGTTCTTTTTTTAAAAAAAATAAAATAAAATATAAGACCATAACTTTAAAAATACCCTTAAGGTATTGGGCTTGTTTCTTTCTTACAGGTGATCCATTTTCAAACTTCTTAAATAAATCATAATAAAAACAGAATTATTTGTAAAAGAAAATGGAATAAAATTTGAGCAAATGTTTCAGAACTGCTGTTTTAATCTGTGGTCGATCTTCGGTACCAAAATCGAGCTCTATAGTCATCACTGCAAGTCATAAACCCAGGATTTGTAGGCGAATGGACAATGCAGCGAACTATGCTGTTATGCCCCAAGGAAAGAAGATTTCTTCGTTCCGCTGTTCGTGAATCCCAGCAGCAAAGGCTAATGGTCCTTTCATCTGGAAGGAGCACATAGTCTTCGGTGTGATTAAAAACAGCCTGTGTCCTATGAACCTGGCGTCCACTCAGGCCAGCTCCTGTAGGTTTAACAGCATATTGTATGCAATTAATTATATAGTATTCATTCACATATTCCATCCTTTGCTGGGTGGATTCAATATTTTTAAGTATTAAAGCCCAACAATAAAAATGTCAAATCTCCTATCATGGGCAACATATTCATTAGTAAGGTCAGCAAGAATATTCATAGCAAAGAAAATCCTCAGTGTTTCCCGAAGTCCAGACTAGTTCATATTCTTTAGTGTAGAGTATTTGCTCCTCCAAATTCACAGGACTTAATAGGACTTTATTTCTCACATGACCTTTTCTGAATCCAGAAGCTTAACAGAATCAGGCCTGGATGGTATCTGATTGGAAGACTTTACTAAATACTAAAGTCAGTGGTGGGATTCAGCCAGTTTGCACCACTTCGGCAGAACAGGTAGCTAATTTTTGTTGCCCAGGCCCAGAACAGACTTCCAGAAGTGGCATCCATACAGAGAACCGGTTGTTCACATATTTGAATCCCACCACTGACTAAAGTTATAGGCCTGGGCTGGGAGACTGACATAATAATCAAGAAGCAACTTATCTATTGCTGCCATGAAAACTACCTTGACATATCAAATGAAGTTATCAGCATTCAAGCTCAACTTATCTTTCAAACTTTCTCCTGAGTGTAAAAGGATGTGAATTTCCTCTATTATAATCATTTATCACAAACAATGAAGAACTGCTATAATTTCAAGCCAGCTGTTATTTCAAGAGTAGAATGAAACTCGGCCATTCAAGGTATAGCTTAACTCCCAAAAGAAGATAATACAAGGGTGTAAGAAGGATAACATATTGACTTAGTTTTTTAAAAATAGCCAGAATCTGGATTTTGTTTTTACTGATTAAGGAAATTGGTATTGTTAAGGAAAGACTATATGCTATCTTTCATCTATATCTGTTTTTTTAAAAGAAAAAATAGATTGCTATGGTTATCTGTACAAAAAAACCCTGTGAAATCCATGTATACAATATGAGATGGGAAAGAGAGAGAGAGAGCAGTATATATTTCCCAAACTTACAATACTAATGCCTACAAATATTTTTTTCTGGATTGGGGGGACAGTGGTTTCCACTCAATTCATACCAATGTGTACTGGGGTGGCCTTAGACCCAGTTTAGCCCTAGTGAGAGTGGGTTTAGAATGAGGTAGTGTAGTTTTTGTTATGCATCTTGTGTTAGGAAGCTGGTTTTTGTACATCAGTTGTAATTACAGCACATGTAGAAATGAAAGTTCTCCAGTTTTATTTGTTAAAGTATAGTACACACAACAATTCAGCATGTTAAGTGTTGGCTGCACCCTGCTGGCTTGATATATTATAAACTTAAGCACGAAACAGGATAATTTCAGAAGATGGATCTGTTTAAATGTTTTTTAGTTATTCTTTTAGGAGTTTTACACTGCTTAAAAATATTTCACACTGAAGGTGAAGGGAGGAAAAAAACATTGAGAGAAATTCCAAGTTTACATTTTGTGCTGCATTTGATGACAGACTCTATGAAGAAGCAACTTCATTTTAATACCAACTATTACTTGAAATACATGTGTTAATGCAGGAACTTGCCCAGGAATTTCTCTTAAAAACATCTGCTATCTACAGAAATAGCAATTCAGAAGTACAAAGTAGGTTGAAGTAAGTTATAAAATACTTTTTAGACTATAAACCATTCAGTTACTTAGGATAAACAAAGAAAGTACATACTTTCTTCTGAGGTAAAACAAAGTGATCCAGATTCACAAAGTAATTTACACCAGGAGTATAAGATGCGTCACGCACAGGCAACACCCACCCCGGCTCCGCAAAGGCAAAAACTGTCACAATATGTCACATGATGTGATCAAATTTGACACCCGTGACTTATACTTATCAGGCATGTGAAAAATTGTGATTACCTAACAAGTTTTGTATTGTGCATTTCTATAATCCATGTATGTCCATGAATACACGTAGCTTAATGCAAGTACCTACAGGATTCACTACAAAAGCCAAAGCAAAGAAAGTCAGATTATATTGTTCAGATTACTTTTCACCTACCTGTATATTTGACTAGTGTCCTCCCTGTTGATATCTCCCACAGTTTAGCCACAGAATCCTTTCCACTTGAAAGTATGTACTTGGAATTCTTAGAGAAAATGGCAGAACAGACTTCAGCACCATCATGTGCCTTCTCAAAAGTGGTGATACAACGATTTGAAACTCCATCCCACAATTTGATGCATCCATCTTTGCTGCCTGTTACATACATGTTAGCACTTGCATTGTAATTAACTGAGCATATAGCATCTGTATGTTGATCTTGAGGATTGCAAGATACAAAGCACTGAAAAGTATTAACATCATAGAGCCTCAGGGTAGGATGCTGTGTCCCAACAAGTATGAAATCTCCAGAAGGATGGAAAGATATAGAGCGCAGCATTTCTGCTTCCTGTTTAATTGGAAATCAAACAATGAACATTAGAGTGTACTATCCTATAAATGTAACATATCTAGATATCAACCACTATTATAAAATGAATTCATATCCAGAGAAGGACACTGCTATCTGAACAGGTCAGACAGAATATAAGACAGAGTGTGAACAAGTACAAGTATACATTTGATAGAGATTTGAAAAAAAAAAGGAGGGGGGAGAGAAATTTATTTTTCTCCCTAAAAATGCATGACTATTATTTTTTAAAAACATTTTTAAGATTTTAAACAAAAGGGTATGATTATAGAAAACACACGTTTTGCCACCAAGCAGCTTGGGATGATAATGATGAGCTTTCAACAGAAAAAAAAGTTTGACAGAAAAACATTATTATAGTCTTTGCCAACTATCTCATTCTTTTGTACTCATTCATTTTCAATGTTCCAAGTATTTAAAATAAACTACATAGAAAAAAAAACTTATGCTTGACCCATAATTTAAGAACTAAAAAACTGTCTGAAAAGCTACATCAAGTATGATTTATGTCCTTCTATCTAAAAATTATATTTGGTAATACCAGCAAGACAAATCTTATGATGATATTTCTTAGAAATGTGTGATTAGAGAACCTGACCTGAATATATTTGAAAGCTCTCTTGGCAGATGGTTTTGAATAGTCAAATAATTTCAGAGTGTAGTCTCTTGATCCAGATGCAAGGATTTGTTCATTTGGATGAAAAGCTAAACAGGTGACCTCATCTACATGATCGTAAAGAGTCCTAATAACTGGATGGTTCTCCATGTTTTGCTGAGCTGTTTCATTCATCATAACCTGTAAAAATTAAAAGTACAGCATTTAAATATAGTCTTTTAAATATATAAAATAAAATACATGGAAATACACAACTAATTTCCTTTGCAGAGAGTTTAAAGAACAAATAACATAGTGGATCAGCACCTTTTCACAACTGTTAATTCTCTTTCATACAGACCCTATTATTTAAAGTAAGCTAATACAAACCCATTAGAGAAAAAGAAATTGAAACATACATTTAAACTCCCACATGGCAGATTGTGGCCATGTAAGCATTTTTCAAAATCTTGGCAGCCCACTTGGCTGATATGGTAAATAATATAAAATATGATTATTTTGCATATTCAGAAATGTACTTTGTCTAGAATGTTTTTCAATAATAAACATGGACTTCTTTTCTAAAGAAATTATTTTGGGGGAATTTTTCTGTTATTCCCAGAGCATAAGCCATAATATTTATCAAATTAATCTTGACACATCCATTTTTTTTGAAAGTGTTATTGAAGCATTTTACTATTGCCTTCTTCCAGAGTATCTTTCAATTCTCCAATCAAGCCAACAATCCTGGAATTTCCAGATCTAAATACCACTAAGGCCAATCCTGCCTCAATTATGAAATCAGCCAAGAACCATTGGATGCTACCATTTGTATAAGTTCAGAGCATATTTTTAACTATTTTGAAAACAAGTTTTGTAGATCAAAATTCTCCCCAAAAATTTGTACAAAGAATTTTCTGTGAAGAACAAAACTGGATGGCAGTAAGGTGAAAGGAACAGGGGAATAGGTAGGGGAAAATAAGAAATAAAGCTCTGTTTAGATATTATAAAAAGGATTTAAATTCAGAAAGTGAACAACAGAGGGGAGCTTAATCCTTCCCATATCCCCAGCAAGAGTGAATATCCAAAGACCATCCACAACCATATCTGCAATTATTTGTACTTTCTGCTATAGTTTTTCTATAAAGTTATGGACCTTCATTGAAATCTAAGGAAAATATGTATTTTTAAATTTTTAAACTAGAGCCTGAATTCTGAAGGTTGCCGAACAGTCTCTCCATGCAGCATTCAGCATCTCTTTATGAGAACAGCAGATGATCAACAAAGAGCTGAAGCAACAATATGGATTCACACTACTTCAATATTTACCTCAATGGGCATAGCACTTTTTGCTAACATTCTTTCGGTATCAAGTATTTTTATTGATGCATCAGCTGATCCTGTAGCAATTAACTGTCCATCTCTGCTATATGTAGCTACACGACATGGTCCTTTGTGAGATGTGACATAACACGTCTCATATTCAGATGCTTCTGGGGACATAGTCTGTACATCTGCATCAAACTCCAAGTCAATTCCAGTTCCAGGAGCTACTGTATCAGAGCGTCCAATTGCATACTGAACTGCACTATCATCATTTTCCATTCCTGGAAGATAGAATGCACCAAACTTTATTTTTTAAATATAAAACGAGGTTGATTCAATAATGTACAAGAAGCAAATGCAATTTTAGACTGCATCAAAATAACTGTAGATTACAAATTACAGGAAACTTATAAAAGGTATAGTAAGTGTAAAGTTAATGCATAGAATTTTAATATTTATAGATAAGCTGAATAGAGAATGCTTATCAAATAAAAATGATTATTTCTTCTAGCATTGATTTGATTCAAACATAAAGCTAAGTATTGCTTTAGAATACATGAGCACAACTTGCTTTGTGTGCTCTTTCCTTCCCACAATTGAATTACTTTCTTCTCTTTATTGTGCAAATCATAGCACGTCATTCATTTCCATGCAAATCAAAATTTTAAACCAATAAAAAAGGTAGTCTGGGAATCTGCAAAACAGTAGGAAAAAGGCAGGTAAAGGAGGGACCTTTATAGTTATAGCAATGTATAGTTTGACATTACAGCTAGACTGGCAACCATTTAAAGTCAGAAGGTTAGAAATACTTCAGAAAAAGTTCTAAAAGTCAATTAGAATTACATCATTACTGGACAATTGGTTGGAATATTGCTCAACATTGTTTTAGAAGACAGAACCAAAGACTTGCTTCAGTGCCTGAGTCTGGTGGCCTGAGTGACAGTCTCTTGTTTAAAATAATAATGGGTTTTATGATTCCTGGCTACTATGGGTTTTCACTTTTTGCACTGCCTTTGGTTTATCTATTTTATTGTAAGTTGTCCAGAATCACATGAGATGGTTGGTTCAATTGATCAATCAATCAATCAATCAAATAAGCAAACTAGAGGTGCAGAGATTTAGATTCATGTGAATTCAAAGGGTATATGTAGGACCATTGGGAAGTATCTTAAGCAGCTGCATCTTTTTCTGGACTTTTATAGTTGTCACCTACAGCCGAATTACATTTTGCCCTTGATTCCGAATCTCTGCACAGCCATGATATTTAATTAATGGTAGGTGGGAGCGGTCATATTAAAATAATGGTTTTCAGCGTGGAAAGAACTATAACCAAATTTAGCATCACATAAAATGATATTACTGTAACATCTTATTTTTGTTTACTGATGTTTCAACTTACCTAGTTTAATAAGATGCAACAGTTGTTCAGAGGGTGCACAGACAGATTGTGGCTTTACTTCATTTATCAGACCATTAGCAATATTGATATATCCATCATATAACAGTTGACTAATAATAAGCCTGTAAAGTTGTTGCCGGTCTTTAAGGCTTACTTTTGGCCTATACATTGTGAACAAAGGTTGCCTTCCAGGTATCTAAAACAAAAATAATATTGTTTACATGTATGACAAAATTAAAAAATATATATCTATTTTCTGTTTTTCAGAAAAAAAAAATCCCCAAACAGAATGATAAAATACTGGTGACAAATGAACTAGGTGACAAAAAAACCCATAATATCAGAAAACAATATTTTTATATGAACAAGTACCGGTATAAAATATATGGGTAGTACGTAGTGACAGAATATTAGGAAGGAGTAGGAAAGACTGATTTTTCTAACCATAGAAAAGTCAAGACTGCAACCACAGAGAAACTTCCCCCCTCCCCTTTTTCAGACATCAGGTACTTAAGACAGATTTCCCCAGATGATTCAAGCAGGGAATCTCACCTATTGTAGGAAATGCAGTAGGCCTTTAGACAACCTTACCTGCAAGCTATTTGCACTCAAGTCTAATAATAAACTGATATTTGGTGTGCTGTGCTAATGCCTGAATACAAAGGCTGCAGAGTTTTCGTGAACTGTACAGGTAGTCCTTGGCTTATGATCACAAATGAGCCCAACATTTCTGTTGTTAAGTGAGGGATTTGTTAAGTGAGTTTTACCCCATTTTAAGACCTTTCTTGCCATAGTTGTTAAGCAAATCACCACAGTTGATAAGTTAGTAACACGGCTGTTAAATGAACCTGGCTTCCCCATTCATTTTGCTTGTTAAAAGATTCCAAAAGATGTTCACATGACCTTAGCACGCAGCAACCCTCCTAGGTCTGAGTCAGTTGCCAAGCCTCTGAATTTTCATCACATGATCACGAGGATGTTACAACGGTCGTAAGTGTGGGAAAACAGTCACCAATCACTTTTTTTCAGTTGTAACTTTGAATGATCACTAAACGAATTGTTGCAAGTTGAAGACTACCTGTATACTGTAGGTCTCCTTCAAACAACTGCACAGTAATTAAATCCTGGCCTAGATAAGTAATACATGGCAAGGGTGGATGGAGTTCCCTTTACACAGGATTGGAGATCTTTAAATCAAAATCTTTTTCATGTTTGTTATTTTAGGGCAGGGGTCTTCAAACCTGGCCCTCTTATGACTTGTGGACTGAAGAATTCTGGGAGTTGAAGTCCACAAGTCATAAAACGGCCAGGTTTGAAGACCCCAATCATGGGGTTGCTACAATCCCATGATTGTAGCAACCAACTACATGTCCCCAAGTCCTTCTCGCTTTCATCGCGCTCAACCTTTCCCCCCCCCCATCCCGAGCGACGGCTTTATCTCCACAGGGATAGGTCAAGAGGCTTATCCGTCGCAGGAAAAGCACCGCCTTCTCCCGCCTTCCATGTGCGAGAAGCGAACGGCTGACGCGGGAACCACCAGATCCGACACTTACCAGCCCGTCCTTCGTCCGCGATCGATCTCCGCTCAAAAGGGCTGCTGGGGGCCCGACGGCGTCAAGGGGCGACTGGGCGGGCAGATGAAGCGGAGCGGGCGGCAGGGGTGGCGGCGGTTGTGGTGGTGGCGGCGGCGGCGGTAGCAGCAGTCTGGCCCGAGGACCGCTCCGTCGAACAGGCTGCTGCATCGAGCCTCCACACATCGATTGAAGCCGCGGCTGGAAGAAGGGAAAGCTAATCAATCTCACAAAGAGCCAGAGATTGCTCTGCGTAAAATACGCACGTTCTGATTCATGAAATCAAAGCCTGGCTGAACTTGATTTTCTTACCGTAGCTGAAACGAAGCCCGGGAATCCAAGAAGAGAAGGGAGCAAAGGGACGAGGCTTCCTAGTAGCCTGTCAAAAACGATACCCTCCCCTTTGCTCTGGCTTTTGTTTAAGCTGGGCAACTGGGCCCGTGAGAACCGTTTGAACTGGCAGAAACTTGACGTTCCGCATCGCTCCCTTGCCCCTGGAGAAACTTTAAATTTCTGTCCCCTTAATAAAATGTTGAGGAGCAGTATCCAAAAGAAGAAGAACAGTTGGATCCACGATTTTGACCTGGATTCAAGTCAGGGCACATGTCTGCACAACCAATCAGCCATTACAAACACAAGTTCAAAACTGGGCACCACAAGTCCAAATTGTCAGGTTTTGAGGTGGATTTCATGTAAAAAAAATCATGGTACTGTTCATGGACAACCTGATCCCTACCAAGGGGTTATATCAAATAACTATTTCCTTTTCAATTCAAGATATTTAATTCAGGATACAAGCTTGAAATCTGTCACAATACAGGTAACCCTCGACTTACGACCACAGCTGAGTCCAAAATTTATGTTGCTAAGTGAGATAGTTGTTGAATGAATTTTGCTGCATTTCACAATCTTTCTTGCTACAATTGTTATGTGAATCACTGAAGTTGCTAAATTAAGAATATGGTTAAGTGAATCTAGTTTCCCCATTGACTTTGCTTGCCAGAAAGTCACAAAAGGGATCCCATGACCCCAGGACATGGCAACCATCAAATATGTGTCAGTTGCCATGTGTCTGAATTTTGATCATGTGACCATAGGGGTACTGTAATGTTTGTGTGAAAAACGATCATAAGTCACTTTTTTCAGTGCCCTTGTAACTTCAAAGGGTCACTAAATGAACTGTTGTAAGTTGAGGACTACTTGTTCAATAATAAAGTATGACATGCACTGTTCTGTATTTTGCTAAGTGAGTTTTGTATCCCCAAAACCAGAATTATGTTTTGGGCAGCTATATGAATGAAATAAATATTGTAAAGATCCTGAGGTCAGTGGTATGTATTGTATACATTGGAGGTTTTATTTCCAGCCAAAGTGCTGGGAATTGTCTGTCCAATACATCTGATAGACACCAGCTTTGGGCTTACTGTACTTTATGAAATGCTATGATTCTGTGTAATATTTATAATGTGGAATGAAACTTAAAGGCTGAGGAATAGATTCCCTCCTCTTAAATAAGATACTAATTTAAGAAAGTTCCAGATTCCTAGAAATTGTTACTCAGCAGTAGAATCCAATCAGTTTAATTTGAATTTGAGAGAAAAACGAAAACTTAAGTCTAGCTGTGAATCTCCAGTTCTCTACCTATTTAAATGTAGATAAATTCAAGCTGGTCACTCCAGTTTTGCAATCTTAGAAAATTTGAGGAATGTGAATGGGTTAGGCTTAATTTTCATTACATAGCCTCTGTTAAACAACACACCTTTCAGTATAATTTGCTGAGAAAAAAAGATCATATTATAAATAATAGTTGCTTAAAGGTTTTCAGGAGTATCTGTAGAATAACAATAATGTGGACTATGTCAGTCTTTGGTTTGACCATTGACCTTCTCAGTGGTGACCCTTTTTATGCATCATTCCCCCTGAGGTACAGCTAGCCCTCACCCTACTGGTTTTCTGAAAAGCCCTAAAAAATATGGTTTGTCAGCAGACCTGGGGAATACAAATGGAGATGGAGTGGATCAAGTGGCTGATTTGATTGTGTTGTTGCTGCCATGGGGGTGGGATGGGTTTTTTTAATGGGCATTTATTATATAATGGATTTTTTAAAAAAATGTGTAGGCTTCCTAGAGCTGTCTATGTGTAAATTAGGTGGCTATATAAATTTGTTTTATAAATAAATCTAGCAGGTTTTTTCTTATTCAATCTTCAGTATCTTCAATATTTATGGTATTTACACATCAGCATGCCAAATTACACTAATCCAAAAGAACAATTCTACTTACATCGGCTTCAAGAAATGGTAATCTCATTGGCCGCAGTTCACCAGTGGGTGAGTCCATGCCAGTCATGCCCCATGGAAGCTGCCGCCTGTCACATGGTGGAGTGATACGACGACTTGACATTCTTTCTGAGAGAATAATATATCATATAATAGTCACACATTTGAAATCTGTTCTTTACATTCTTCATAAAGAGCACATCAATCTACACTTTCAATATGTTGCCTTTTTAGAGGACTGGAAAAAATTTTTTTTTAAGTTCATGGGTACTTCTAAAAATTGCTTGTTTTAGAAAACAGTGAAGAACTGCTAACTTGATATGACAAAACAATGCCAGTATTCACTGTACTGGAGGTACTTATTTTGAAAAATTCAACATACCGTAGTTCAATTTCTCCCCCTCTCTTTTTGCTTTTGGAGGGAAAGTTCCTCGATCGCAAAATGACTCTTGCTTGACTCAGAAATTATACAATCCCATTGTATGTTACTGTTCAAATAAAGAGGAAAAAATCTTCATGCAGACCCTTATTCCTTAACTTGTAAAACACATTAGGATTATAAAATGCAGGAAAATCACAAGCATCCTTTTAAAAAAATCAGTGTGTTATAAAATGCCACACTGAAACTCTTCTGCCTTTGCTCTTGATGCACTTTGTGGAGATCACACATTGTCCATAAAAGCACAATGGTCCCTGACAATTGCAAAACTGGTGACAAATTCCAAAACAGACATCCAGCAACAATCATGACTGATCTAATTCATCCATGGCTTGTTTGGCTCTTCTTATGCTCAAAGGCAGACCAATTTTATTAAGTAGTAAGAAATAAGGCGAAGCTACTGTTCTTCTGCCTATAATTAAAGGTCTGCACCAGATTAGTGATGTGGATCCATCATATACATCCAACCTGTCATAATCATGCCTGTGTCAATGGCTGAAATGTAACCTGCAGCAGCTTTCAAGGGGGTCCACTCATGTAAAGGAATTGACTCATTCAGATTTTGCGGCAGAGGCTTTCGTCTAAAAGCGTGTCCGAGAGTGGGAAGGTAAGCAGCCTAGAGTCTCCTTCAGTCCTGGCCTGACAGACGCGCCGCCGTTAGAAGCCGGCTGCCGTTGCTTGAGAAACTGCGCAATTTGCGTTGACGAAAAGCGAGGCCGAACGCCCCCGGCGGCGGGATGACAAAACTCATGCGCCTGTTTCATTAATTAGCGCAGTGTACGCCTCTAACGTAAAAATGTCCGATACATTTACGTTCCTTCTTCGCCCCGCCTTTCTAAGTAGCTAAAGCGGTGGCGAGCCTGCTTGGAATAGGAACCTGAGCCCCCACTCAGCTGAAACGGTTAGGAAGTGCGGGTGTGGTCGATGGAGTTAGCCAATGACCGGTCGAGAGTGTTGGAGTGAAGGGGAAAGACTCGCCAATCAGAATGCGCAGGCAGTTTAAAGGGCGTTGAAGGAGGCGGGCGGGCGTTTGAATTCAAACGGCGGTGGAGCCTGCCAGACGGAGTTTGGAGGTGAGGTGGCCTTCAAGAAGGACGGCTGGTGGATGGCGGGGCTGTCGGGAGTAAGTGCTAGTGGAGAGAAGTTTTTTCCTAAGCACTGGCGCCCACCCGTTTGGTGGTTTCCATGAGCGTTATCATAGAATAGGTGTGATGGCCGGGGAGGATGGGAGTTGTATTCTAACCGGTATAGGGATTAGTATTTTGGAACATCGTGGGAATGTAGCCGTTTCATTATTAAACCATTAAACAAAGGTGAAAGGTATGGCGAGGACTAGATGATGTTCTAAAATAGCCCTATAAATGACTTGCCAGTGATTTTGTTAAAAAGTTGCTTCCGTTGGAATAAGTCTCTTTTCAATTCCTTTAAAATGCTACCCAAGACTTGGTTTTCTTTTTTTCCTTTTTTTTTTTTTTGCCTGCCCTTTGGTCTTACCTGCTGTCTAGCCTGTTTTTAACCCTAAAGGCCGGGGTTCTGACCATTATTTAAACTTTCTTGGCAGACTCATTTACCAGAAAGAAAACTAGTAATATTCCTTATTGCATTATGTACTACAATAGTTACCTAGACACCTTTGTTTCTGAGCAAATGGGCATACTTCCACCAGAACCTGGACTGCAGTTATCCACCATGTTAATTTTCTAAGAATGCCTCTGAAGTCTTTGTAGACTTTAGTCTAGAGGCATGCTTGGGGCAAAATGGGGTTTTATTTTGCAGCAAAATTCCTTTTAAAAATGCTGAGTTCCAACTGAGAGATAATTAGTTAATTGGCACCATATTGTGATTCCATGGTTTAAAATATCTGTGAGAACAAACGTGGATTCTGAAAAGTATATTGAATGAAAATTAAGAAACCAGACAAATCAACATGAGCTTGGGCTTGTGTTTTTCATATCTTTGGAAATTTTATGTTTCATCTATTCTTGTTCCAGGTGAAAACCTAAAAATTAACCTTGAGTCTGGTATATACATTACCATGGATAAACATCTGCCTTTGTAACTTCAGAGAGAGCACAGTTATAAAGCCTTTTTAGCAATTCAGTTTATGTTATTGAAATGCTTTCGTAACTAAAACTGCATTTAATAATAATAATAATAATAAAGTTGGATGGGACCTTGGAGGTCATCGAGTCCAACCCCCTGCTCAGGCAGGAAACCCTACACCATTTCAGACAAATGGCTGTCCAGTCTCTTCTTAAAAACTTCCAGTGTTGGAGCATTCACTGCTTCTGGAGGCAGGTTGTTCCGTTGGTTAATTGTTCTAACTGTCAGGAACTTTCTCCTTAGTTCTATGTTGCTTCTCTCCTTGATTAGTTTCTATCCGTTGCTTCTTGTCCTGCCTTCAGGCGCTTTGGAGAATAGCTTGACTCCCTCTTCTTTGTGGCAACCCTGAGATATTGGAACACTGCTATAATGTCCCCCCTCGTCCTTCTCCTCATTAGACTAGACATACCCAAATCCAGCAGCCGTTCCTTATATGTTTTAGTCTCAAGTCCCCTAATCATCTTTGTTGCTCTTCTCTGTACTCTTTCTAGAGTCTCAGCATCTTTTTTACATTGTGGTGACGAAAACTGGATGCAGTATTCCAAGTGTGGCCGTACCAAGGCATAGTAAAGTGGTATTAATATTTCATGTGAGCTTGATTCTATCCCTCTGTTAATTCAGCCCAGCACTGTGTTGGCTTTTTTGGCAGCTGCAGCACACTGCTGGCTCATATTTAAGTGATTGTCCACTAGGACTCTGAGATCCCTCTCACAGTTACTACTATTGAGCAAGGTACCCCCTATATTATACCTATACATTTGGTTTTTCTTGCCTAAATGTAGAACCTTACTTTTTTCACCATTTCTTTGCCTGTGTGATGTATATTGTACTGTGCATTATATAGATAAATTAATGTTACTTCCTTGAGGTCAGAGTTCATGCAGTATGAGGACTTAATTTTTCCAAGGATTACTAATATGAATAGGTTGAAGATATTGAAGTGAAGTCTCAAATAGCATAATGGAAAGTGGGTGACAAAGTTTTTATGCTATACATGATGAATGTCTGGATTTTTTGTTCCTCAATATAGTAATGGACAAAACGAATAAAGAAAACCAAAATGGACATCTACATAACAGCAAGGTAAAGTGACCCCTTGTGTGTATTGGGTGGTGTAATTCTTGCCTTTTTAGATCTCACCATTGCACTGCCCCACACAGTCAGGTTTGGAGGATTGTCAGTGGGCTTGTATTTATAATCCATTGCAGTATCCTATGGTTGCGTGATAGCCATTGGTTAAGTTGGATTCGCACTTACAGCTATATTATTCACTTACTGATCATGTCATTTGCTTAATTACCACAGAAGCTGGACTTATGATCTTCATAAAAATGGTTGTAAAATCTGGTCAGGTCACATGGTCTGACCCGAATGATTTATGACCAAAATTCTGGTCATAGTTGTAGCTGTAAGACTACTTGTAATAAACTTTTGCTATTTAAACCTGGGGTCTTCCAACCCCTAGGCGTGGACCAGCACTGGGATACAGGTAGCACACAAAATCATGCCCCCCTCCAGTCTGCAGAAAAATTCTCCATGGAACCAGTCTCTGGTGCCCAAAAGGTTGGAGGCCACTGATTTAAACCATGAACTTCCAAATACTATAGGTGCCCTATAGTGGTCTTATGCTGAAAGAAACTGAATCTTAAGAAATTTTGCAACTTCTATTTTTCCTTAGGTGCCTGAAACAGTATTCAAAGTTGTGTTTTTATTTTTTTTAAAAAATCAGGTAGATGGTCCAAAGAGGATTCCTATGTCCCAGAATCGGGCAGCAAGGACTAGAATTCAGTCACAGCATATTTTGACTGCTTCAAATGTGCCCCAGAGAGTGCCTATTCAATCCCAGGCACAGAAACCTGCTGTTAGCCATCCAAAATATTCCAACCACCTAAGTCAACAGCGACCAACATCTGCAGTTCAACCAACATCCAGGAATTTAGTTTCAAATAAACCTGGTATAATTCCTCAGCAGCCTTCTGCATCTGGTAAGTACTGCTGTTTCAGTTATTTCTAACTTTATAATAGTAAGTACTACTGTTTCAGCTATTTGTAATCATCATAGAAAAATCTATTGATGATTATGATACAGGCAGTCCTTGAGTTAAGACCACTAGTTCAGTAACTGTTAGTAGCTGAATGAAGGGACTTGCAATTGGTCATTGAAATTATTGACATTGTAATGCCCTCATGGTCACGTGATCATTATGCATTTGGTGACATATTTCAACTTGCAAATGGTTCCCAACCACTCTACAATCATGGGATCTCTTTTGCAACCTTTCCTGCTGGCTTCCTTAGAAAGCCAGTGGGGAAACCAGCATGGAAGGCACAACTCATCGGAATAAGTCTTTACCCATGCTGTTCCTCAGCAACTCTGCACTTGTGCCATATTGTCCATTCACATCGTTCCTGAACTACACGGTGCCTCCAGCACTCCTTGCATCCTTGTTCACTTCCCCATTCTCTTTACCACCTGACAGCAGCCACTTGCCTGCCAGTCATCCTGGGACTTGTAACTTCCTGCTGGCTTTCCTAGTGACTGTTTCAAGGAAGCCAGCAGGACGTTGCCTCACCTAAAGCCTGTGGCATTCATTTAATGACAGCAACTGGGTCTTCAAGTAATTGTTTTACTAAGCAATGAGATTATGCTTTGCGACTATATCACTTTGTAATAGAAATTGTCCTAAATCAAGGACTATCTATATATAATAAAGAGCAAAAAAAGAAGCTTTAAAATAGTATTGGAAAATATAGTGAATTGCCATATACTTTCAACCTAAAATCTTCCACAACAATGTAACTGGTTAGTAAGTCTTGGTACAGGTAGTTCTCAACTTACGATTGGTCTAAGGTACAGGACTAGAAAGTGTTTAGGGACCTTTCAAAGTTACAACAGTGCTGAAAAATACCTGGTCCTCATACTTAAAACTGTTGCAGTGTCCCTGCAGTCATGTAATCAAAATTTGGGCACTTGTAAGCAGCATGTATTTGCAATGGTTGCAGCATCCAAGGGTCATTTGATCAATACTTGCAATCTTCCCAGCTGGCTTCCAACAAGCAAAGTCAATGGGGAAAGCTGAATTTGCTTGATGACCACATGATTTACTTAACAAACAACATTTAAATAAATGTTTAACCATGAGATTAAGTAGTCTTAGCTGCTTTCTCTTTATTAAACATTTGTGAGTAAGAAATATGAACATAGTAAATAGTGCTTTCTCAGTAATGTATCTACTCATTGCAATATTCATTTCTAAATGTGGATATTTATTTGCAAAATCATTAGTTAAAAGATTCTTAAAACTGCATGAATCATGCAAATCGAATCAATGTAAGATCTTTGCATGTGAGACGAATGGGATGTTAGAGATTATTTTTGGGATTATTTAGGGGAATCAATATTCCTCCAGTTGGTGCTGAAAACTTCTTCCAGAGTATCACAAAATTTTGGCAATGAGCATGTTTGAAATTGGCATTTTCTCATTTAGAGATAGATAATGTTACATAAAATGTCATTCATAACATATAAATACTGAAAGGAGAAAAACTTATCCAAAAAAGTAAGAAAGCTCAGGTACATTCGTATGTAATACAATCCTGCCCTTCTTCATCCAATGGTAGCCCTTGGACACACACAAAGATTGCCCATACTTGATTTAATGCACGGGATGCTATGTTCTAAATATAGAGTACTTCATATATCTAGAGCAGATACAATATCTTAAATATGGCTGGCTGGCTAGCAAGAAATCCTTAATTCTAAGTAATGATGTGTCCATCCTGAGTTATTTTGATTATGGTACTACATAATTTCTAAAGATAAGTAGAATACAGATAAAATTGCCAGGCAAGAGTGTTAATTTAAAGGTATTCATCTTTATATAAAGGTGTGTTTGTGTATGTATAGCCAATCCTCATTTAACAACTACTTCAGTTACCATTTGCAAATATAGTGGTGAAAAAACAATAGTAAAAGGTAGTAAAAAAAATTCTGTCCAAAATGCACACTTATGACCAAGTTTCTATGCCTAACAAGGCATACCAGAGTCTAGTGCTGGGTTGGTGCACAAGAGAACTTGAATGAGATAGCAACACCCAGCAATTTTCAGTATCTTCTCCATCACAAGTTGTTTCTAGAATGGATTACTGTGGCTAAACATAGAGATCATACATCTTTAATTTTTGCATCATCTATAAAGTACACGCTCCTCAAAACCTGCCACAAAGAGGAACAATTTAAAACAAACTGCTCAATTTTTTTACTTCAGAGCTTGCTTTTAGAAAATTTACCTTCCCTATGCACAGGAAAAAAGCCTGGAACTGAAGATGTATCAGCTGCAACAACTGAGGCCAAAGGAGCTTCAAGTTCAAAAAGTGAGAACAAAGAGGAATCAAAAAGTGAAACTAAAAGGTAAGTTTTTACTTTGTTTCTGTGGGTGGTTATATACAAAGGTTTGTACGCTTCTTATTGGGAGAATCAGATGAATCTAAGCTGTTAGCCTTATGGAAAGGATTGAAGACTTGGCTGTTTCCCCAGGCATTTGAGTCAGCTGGTTAGATGAGCTCTACTCTTGTTAATGCATATGTATATTTTTTTCTTGTGAGTGGGGTTATTATCCTTGGGATTTTATGTTGTAGGTTTCTTTTCGTTATTTTTCAAGTCAGAACATTTGCACACCTATAAACATTTATGTAAATACAGTCTTACTGAGAATTGTCTTCAAGGAAAGCATTCTCTTCTACATTCCTCAGGAAGCAAAGTGCTTTTGCCTATCCCACTGTGCCTCTAACCTATCCCCACAAAAAGTTTATTATTTATAAGGATTTCCTATACAAATTGCTAAGTTTAAGGAGAGAACAAAATGTTCTTATTTCATATTCTAATGCTTTTTTTTAAAAATAGAAAACAATGGTTCCTTGATGACTTTGAAATTGGCCGTCCTTTGGGAAAAGGAAAATTTGGAAATGTGTACCTGGCTCGAGAAAAACAGAGTAAATTCATTTTGGCCCTGAAGGTCTTGTTTAAATCACAGCTGGAAAAAGCAGGTGTAGAACATCAGCTGCGGCGAGAAGTAGAAATACAATCTCATCTTTGGTAAGGTTGAATAAAAATATAGATGGGTAGCCTGGAGGCCATATACAGTAAACCAGGCTTACATTGCCAAAATAGGATAGTAAAAGATAAACATTCAGTAGTACAATTATTGTTCAGAATTAAAGGTAAAAGTGAGAGGTGGAGACCTCTGGGAAGGGATTCTAATTCTCCGTTTTCTCTTACCCACACAGAGATGGCTTTGGAGAGAGGTCTTTGATCCATTTATTAGGTTTTGAGGGTAGAAATGAAAAGTAAAGGCCTTCAGGAGGCCAATTGCTCTCTTTCTTAAAGTATCTCCAAGGCTCTAAATCAGTGGTCCCCAACCTGTCTGGCTTTTCAGTCTGGCGGGGGGGACATGGTTCTGTGTAAGTAGCAGGCGTGCGCACAGCTCCATTTATGCAAGTGGGCACTTGTGCACACATGCAAGTGCCTGCTGCTTGCACAAATGGAGCTGCATGCACATGTTTACCTGCTACTTGCACAGCCCAGTTCTGAATGGGTTGTGGGCCCAGTACCAGGTGGTGGACCCCTGCTCTCAATTACGCTGAAAAGTGACCATTTTTGGCCAATGAGAAAGTGATGAGAATAGTTTTCCAGATGTTTCTGTTCTTGTCAAAACCTTTTCAAATAACTGAAAAAACTTGATCCAATTTTTACTGGTAACATATTGAACAGTTTGCTTGGCTTCAGCCTCTCAATGTTGTTTATTGCTTGTATATAATGAGGGAATTATAGACATGTTTAGCTTATTAATAGCAACTGTCTTTAAAAATCCATATGCCTGTTTTGTAGGCATCCCAATGTTCTCAGGCTCTATGGTTACTTCCATGATGCAACAAGAGTATACTTGATGCTGGAACATGCACCTCGTGGAGAAGTGTACAAAGAACTTCAGAAGCTTAAAAAGTTTGATGAGCAACGAACGGCTACTGTACGTTTTGCAAATGGCAATGCATGCTTTTTGTATGAAATACTAAGACTATTTTTCCTCCCTTTGGAAATGGTGCTCTACTCTAGCGATTTGAATCTAAATATACTGAATAGCTTTGGTTTAGAGATAGGTTAAAAAGAAATAAGTCATTTTGAAATTTTCATGTAGGTAGAAAAGTTCATAGCTTCTCCCGCTGAAACAGGAGGCCAAGTGGGAGATCTTCACTGAAGCTATTTTGCAAATGAAGGCAAATATACATGTCTCAGGATAATGTTGCAGGATCCAAACTGAGTTGGTCACTGGGACCAGAGAATTATTCTTCCAAGTTTTCAGACTTGTGCTGGAGCCCATCCTCAGGGAACGTGTGCCTGTTTTGTTTAAAACTTCTGAAATTAACAGAGAAAACAACGTATTTAAAGGTGTTCAGCTTTCATAGAAGAGAATGGAGGGTCAAAGTATAATGGCTATTCATTGTATCTAAATTATGGTGAATCCATGTAACCCAAGTGTTTTAGCTTAGACATTGACTGCCAATGGCTGTTAATTCAAGATTTTTGTGCCATACTGTATTTTGTATTTTTTTTCTAATTTAAAATGATATGTGGGCAACTTTACAGGCTCATTCCTGAGCTGATTTAATTCGCCCTCTCTGCATTTCCAATGTAAACCTCATTATTTTCATGTAACAATGGGAGTACTATGATTTTGTTGCAAATTTTTCCTTTGGTCATCTGATTTGTATATGTGCAAAGGGAGTACTGTTTTTCTTGTCCTTTATGGCAGAGGTCCCCAACCCCCGGTCCGTGGACCAGTACCGGGCCACGGCATGCCAGCAACTGGTCCACATAAACAAGCAAAGCCCCAGGCAGCAGACAGAACCAGGCATCCTCAGATCTGTGGAAAAACCTCTCTCCATGGAACCGGTCCCTGGTGCCCAAATGATTGGGGATCTCTGCTTTATGGCATGGTTAGGGATTTTTTTCTTAATAAAAGACCTTTGACAGGATTTCTAAACATTTTGTTTTTAAAATGTTCTTTAGGCTTTGGAACATTGAAAATGGAAATACAGCTTGGAGACTTGCAGCTTTTTGAAAGTCTCTTAAAAATTAGCAAAAGAAAAAAGAATGAGGCAACCGGTCTAAAAAGAACTTGAGTTAATGGGTGGTTCCCATCCATCATGTGAAAGTAGCAATGAGTGGGGGAATGGAATAATGCCAACTTGAGGACCATTGACCCATTTTCAATAGTTTAAGGGAGATCAAATATTACACTTTCAGAAGACACCAGAAGTGCATTCCAGAAGTACATGCATCTTATCATTGAGGTCTTCAATGTACCTTCTATGGTCTAATCAAATTTTGTTTAATGTACTAACACCTGCTTGCCAGAAAAGTGCAAAATAAGTACATTAATTTCTTTTTAATCTTTGGGACAAAGTTACAAACAGTTTACATGATGAAGGCCAATGGTTAGTAAGTATGAGAAACCACAGTAATTTTTGGAGCAGGTTTGTTTTGCATTAAGGCAAACTTTTCTAATTAAACTAACACAGGCTGAGTCTTCCTGAAATTATGAAATTATGGTGATGCTTCAGTATTTAACCATAATGGATAAGGAAAACTTTACATTTCATAGTAGAAACATTATTTAGCCCAATAATGTAGTAGTTTTCCTGTTCTTTTTGACAGATTTTTTTTATCATTGTACCTATAGTAATACAAGATGAATAAATGCTCATTGGCCATATCTGCTTAAATTGCATTATTTGAAATTGTTAAGACTTATTTACAAATGTTGGTTTCTTCTACAGTATATGACTGAACTCGCAGATGCATTATTATATTGTCATTCAAAAAGAGTAATTCATAGGGACATCAAACCTGAGAATCTATTGCTGGGATCAAATGGAGAGCTCAAGATTGCTGACTTTGGATGGTCTGTGCATGCCCCATCTTCTAGGTAGGAGACTCTTTAATACTCAAGTTTGAGTGTAGAATTGGCTTAGAATTATTTGAATATACAATGTACTTTTATAGAAATAGTAAAGTTTGCAAAAATAGCTAACTAATTATTTCTGATTGTTTCAGTTGAGGATATAACTCTTAATTTGAAAAGATGCTTAAAGTAGTAGGGTTCATACTGTAATGCTAGCAGCCATGTTTTACAGGTGAATATCAAAGTAAATTGGCAAGAGTCAATTTGATGTAGTGGCATCATGCTAGAAACTACGAAGTTAACTTTGAGTGCCACCTTAAGCATGAAAATCCAGCAGGGTGACTTTGGGTCACTTTTACTCTCAGCCCAAACTCACAAGGTAGTTGTGGGAAAAATAGGAGGAATAAATATGAACATTCACTGCCTTGGGTTATTTATAAAAATAATAAAAGAGTTTTTTTTAAAAAAACCTTCATTCCTATGCCACTCTGTTCCTTTCCCAATTGAAACTCTATTCAGTGGCTTTAGAATTTCAGAGTTGTTACTGTGTGAGAATCTTAGAATGTACATTTTTGAAATTATATTAGGTAAAATATAACAATCTAAAGAAAACTATTTAATACTTAAATACATAAGAAAGCGGACCACTTTAACTCAGAATTCAAACCAAAATATCATACCAACTATCCTAGCTAGTTATGAATGATAAATCAATAGCAAGTTAGTTATGAACGCAATAAATGAAAAAATACTGATAATATCCTAGAATCCAAGAAGATAGATGGGAAATGAGAGCCAGTAAAAAGGAACTAAGGGTAATGATATGTAGAGAAGTGTGAGCAATGGAGGACTTATTGTTCTACAAAACAACTTTGGATTTTAGTTTTAAGATAGGAATGTTTCTTGTGACATCCAAAAATGTCAAGTGCTTTGGGATAAGAGATGGCAGAAAGATTTAGGGTTAGGTAACATTTATAAACAAAATGTCTTAAAACATGGTACTAATAAGTAGAGTAGCTTACTATGAGTATTAGTAGCATCTGTCGTGTTTTTAGATAAATAACATGGTTTGCTGACAGCTCTATAATTTCTATCCTAGGAGGTCAACAATATGTGGCACCCTTGATTACCTGCCACCTGAAATGATTGAAGGGAGGACTCATGATGAAACGGTGGACCTGTGGAGTCTTGGTGTCTTATGTTATGAATTTTTAGTAGGAAAGCCTCCTTTTGAAGCAGAAACGTATCAGGAAACATATAGAGCCATTTCAAGGGTAAGTTGAATTTATCTGGCTTGATGTACCCTATGTTATTTTAGTTTTCTTGCAATCCATGACTCACTCTATATGAGTAACCTTTCAGATTTTGAGAAGTCTAAAACTACTTGAACAATTCTCTGATGTTATTCAGGGATTAGAATTTTGTACTTACCAAGCATATTAGTACCTTTTTGTCAGCTGGCAAATTCAGGTTCAATTCCTGCACTAGTTCTCAGTAACAATTATTTGGATGGTGCCTTACATTGATATGCTACTGCCAGACTAAATGTTAGTTTTCCACCTGGACTCTACAGTGGAAAGGATTGAATGTAGTGCTTTGTGTGTAATTAATTTTCTTTGGTTTAAAGGTGGAGTACAGATTTCCTCCTTTTGTAACAGAGGGAGCACGGGATCTGATTTCAAAGCTCTTGAAGCATGACCCAAAGCACAGATTACCACTGGAAGATGTACTTAAACATCCATGGGTTACATCAAACTCAACTAAGTCTCCCAAGCCTAACACTGAGGAAACTAATGTTGCTAATAAAACTTAGTCATAGCATAATAAGCATTGCTGACTGCATTTCCAAAGTAACAGGGATGGCAGCAATTGTAATACATCTGATATAAGAAGCATAGAATTTGTCTCAAAAAGAAATCAGTTTCCTGCACAATGAACTGTTCTATGAACACTATGAAGTCTGAGCTGCAGTTTGAACAGGCATGTTGCAATGCTTGTAGTTCCATTCAAATCAATTTGTGAATATCTGGAACATACTTGAACTCTGTGCATGTGATTCAAAGCTTCTGGGACACATCTTGTTCAGGACTTTCTCAGATAAATAGTTCCTATATTGTTGATCCTCCTTGCTCCTTGATAGCCACATGAAATTGTTGGAACAGTGCAATAACACCCTAAGGTTAACCTGTGCAGCGATGTGACATGGATGACGTCTGTTTCTGTAAATAAGAGCTAATTGTGCAGTTATTGTCCTGTGTTCAGTTAGGAAATACTTTGAAGACTAAAGACTTTATAAACAATAATCCAGTGCGTTAAGACAGCTTGTTCTTGGATACCTGCTTATTCAGTGGTCAGAGAGATTCTGCTTCCTAGGATAACCTTGATAGTGAGCAATTGTACATTTTAAGGTTCTTAAAAGAAAAACTGCATAGACTATTTTTGATCACCAATTTTTAAATAATGTTGTATTTGTTTAAGCACCAGTAAAACTTTATTACAAAAACATGATGGTTCTGCAGCGCTTTTATTTGCATCTGGTGGTACTTAAATTTTAGAATTTACATTTATCCAAACATGTAACACATTTCACTTCAAGCTGCCTGTAAAGTTCAGATAAAGTGAATAATGTTTGATCCTGAAAATACAAGTCCTTGTATTTTTCAATCATTTCTTTTGGCATGTAGTGATTCCAGGCAATTCTCAGAGTTATCCTGGGGTTATGATGAAAATCTAACTAATGTAGTGAGAAAGTGTAATTTTGTGTGACAGCATTGTTTTGTGATGGCAATCGCAGCGCAGCCTGTTGATGTAACCCCACAACTGTGGGTTATTAAGCGGGGAGATGTGGGAATGTGTAGTTTTTGTAGCCTCTGGAAGCTTCTTCTGACTATAATAGTTACAAATCAAGAATAGCCATTTTGCAATAGGAAATATATAAACACTATAAATAGGCACAATATCATTAAAAAAACTAAACAAAAAAACATTCCACATCAAAGCACACCAAACTCAAGAAAAATGGTGAATTCTAGTTTCTAACTGCCATATTCTCAAATTGCCCTATTATGTATGCTAATACTATTACTCACTGTCATTAAATTACTCAACCATTTCAGTGTTTGGAAATCCCCCCATGCCTGTACACTATTATAGGCAGGAAGTGTCTGATACAGGTACTCTGATTTACGGCTGGCCACTTACTGAGTGTTTGAAGTCACTACAAACCATGAAAAAGGGACTTAAGACTCAGATTCAAAGTTCTGATATGCTCCCCCCTTGCAGCGACATAACCTCATATTTGAGAAACTGGCCTGTATTTATTACTGTTTGCAGCATCTTGCAGCTATGTAACTGATTTCCAATGTTTTTTTTTTTTTAAACTAGAATTTCCAGTTTCCAGAAAAAAAACCAAAACAAACAATGAGGTTATTTAACAACTGCAGATTTGCTTAATGACTACTGTAAAAAAAGTTGAAAAATCAGGTCCAGTCATGTGATGACATGCTTTAGAACTATGACTTACAACCAAAATCGTGGGCTCAATTATGTTCGTAAGTCAAGGACTACCAGTAGCTCACGTCAACCAAAAAGTAGTTGTTACAATGTTAGCTTGTAATACAAGAAATATAATTCCTTAGAACCAAGTATTGTACTTATTCATGTACATATTTGCATTTCTACTTGTTTAAAATTCCTTTAACCTTTATTTACAAAATCACTGCACATGAAACAAAATTTAGTGGTATAACACATAATTTGCATCCTAAACTCAATCAGCTTATTTAAAAGATAAATTTGCAGAGAATGTGGAAGGCTTAGGATCAGAACTTAAAAGACCATTTAGTCTACAGCAGGAGTCCCCAACCTATGGTCTACAGCCAGGTACTGGTCTGTGGCTATTGGCCACCAGGCCCCAGGAATAGCTGACGAGCCCCACCCTACTCACAGTAGCCACGCGGGCACTAGCAGTCCCATTTGTGCATATTTGGGGACGCTAGCACTGCTGCCAGCATCACACGGGTGCTAGCGGCCCATTTGCGCATGCATGTGGGCGTTAGCACATATGCCATGTGTGCACGGCCTGTTTGCGCATGCTAGTGCTGCAATCGTGCATGTGCCCGTGTGCACATTTCCCTGCTGCTCCCTTTCCTTCCGGGCCGCCAAGCTGGAAAGGTTGGGGACCTCTGGTCTATAGAGTTTACAGCTGTATTCAGTTCAGGTCAGAATCTGCCTGAAAGCATCCAGAAAAAAGAAATCTGAAATTGGCTTCATTGTCAAATTGCTCTCCGGAAGGGTTTCTAGTCTTCAACTTGAACCTGCCTTCTTGTAATTTATGCCTGTTCTTCAACATCCTCTACCGTAAGGACAATCGTAAGGCCCATTGTTTAAAAAGCCTTCCTGCTCCATACAGACAGTGCTGGGTTAAAGGATCTAGTGGTGTGATCTGACATGTTTATTAGCGTATCCAATCAATAATTCTTCAGGGCTTCAGTAAGCAATGTATCAGCCACATAGACAGTAGTCGTTTTAAAGTAGTTACTGTTTTCTGACAAAGCACATCCCCATCCTTTCGAAGAAAGAGATTTGGGGGGGGGGGGGAGGAGGGTTTCCAAACAGGAAAGCCAGAGTGCATTAGCTAGCAAAAGCATCCTTTTTAATTCCAGAGAATAATTTCAGGGGTTTGGAGCCGGAGGCTTGAAAATTCCTATCTTCCGAAAATAGCGAACAAGAAAGGGCACTGAGACTACAGTGATGCTGATCCGGACAGGAGCAAACAGTTTATGAATAGCGTAGGCCAATACAAAAGTGCTTGTTCCAGCAGCTAGCTTGGATCGCACAAGGGCTTCATCAAATCCCAGCTTGAAGAGAATAGTGGTCATGTCCACTCCGCTAAAAGGGAGAAGAGGTGGGAGAAACAGACGACACATTAGTAGTATGAAAGTGAATGATTTTGGTTTTTTTAAAAAAATAATTATACAGGTACTCCTCATTACAATCATTTGTTTAGTGATTGTTCAAAGTTTACAATGAAACTTGAAAAAAGGGACTTACAAGGGATACTTGCACGTATGACTGCAACCCACAGTCCTGTAATCAAAATTTGGGTACTTGGCATCCAGACATGTATTTATAAAGGTTGCAGCATTCCAGGATCATGTAATCACCATTTATGACCTTCCTGGCTGGCTTTGAACAAAGTCAATGGAGGAAGCCAGATTCACTTAATGACTCTTTGATTTACTTAACAACTGCAGTAATTTGCCTAATAACCATGGCAAAAAAAGATCATAAAATCAGGCATGACTCATTGTACAACTACTTTGTTTAGCAACAAAAAATTCAGTCCCAATTATGGTTGTAAGTTGAGGACTACCTGCAAAGAAAATCTTGGCTGTGTTCCTGTTCAGAATGAGAATTGGAAGGGATTTGGAGGTCTTTTAGTCCAGACCCCTGCTCAAGTAGGAGATCCTATATCATTTCAGACAAGTGATTGTCCAGTTTCAAAATCCTCCAGTGATGAAACACTATGCAAGTATCCAGTGTATTCCTCAAGCCTAGAGAAGCCTGTTCCATGGTTCAGAAGACTACAGATGAGTCAGTGAGCCTCTCCTTTATTTTCATGCACCTATAAACTTGGGGAAATAAGCCTGTTCTGCCTCTAATTGAACTGTGGAATGTGGTGCCCTGGTTTGTTAAATAACTTGAATGAAAACTGGTGCTGTGGAGTAGGGTTGTACCAAGCTTCAAAGAGCTTAGCTCAATCTAGCTAGAAGTGTGTTCTCAATCTCAGCAACTGGGGCATTCTGGGAGTTGTAGTTCACACCTTAAAATTTCTGAGATTGAAAACTGCTCTAGAACAGGGGTGTCAAATTGCCAGCCTGCGGGCCGGACGCGTCATCCAGAAGCTGCGCCCACCCCATTGCCGGCAATGGCAAAATTCTCCTGATACATTGCGTGATGTCACGTGACGTCGTGAGTTTGACATGTTTACTCTAGAGCCTCCTGTGAATCAATTACTAGAACAAGGCAAGGGCTGCTGAGGTAAGTATTATGTTTGCAGTCCTTATTATCATTACTCATTTGAATTTATTAGCTACCTAACCCCAATAGTTTTTGCCCAAGGCAGAAATTGATTGATTCTGGGTGGACAAAACTGGCTTGAGTTAAAAGTCCTCCAAATTGGGTTGTTCTGGCTTGTGCTATAGGCAATACAAAGGCTGTCCAATCCGGTAGTAGTCAGGGATGGAAGAGAAAACTGAGGAGTCTCAATACCTGCAGTAATTTGCAGCTGCCCAAATTCCAGCAGGCCTAAGTTCAATATTTAAGGGAATTGGGAAACACAGGTTCAAGTCCATCCACAACCATGGAAGTTCACTAGATGTTTTGGCATGGCCTAACTTTAAGAGATGGTATGGAAAAAAATTAGTTTGTGTGGCACCCTAATATCCTGAAGATAAATTCAGCTTAACAGTTTTTAAATGGAAAAAAAAAAGACCTCTCATTTTCTTTTTGTAAATGCGGGAAGATTAGAAAGGGAGAACATGCCAACCTGATTTACAGTATAGCGATCAAATTTCCAGTACACCAATAACAGCAACAATAATAATGCTTACCTTGACACAACCAGATAAAACATTCCCAGAGATATCAAAGAAATCCCAATATGAAATGTTACTCCAACAGCTCCATATTCCTTAAAAATTTTCTTCAACTGATGTGATTTATTTGGTTTCTTCCCATTTTCCTGGCTGGGATCTGTGAGATTTTCTGAGGATGTACCTGGAGTCTGAATAATGGAGGTAAGTAAGAGAGAGAAGATTGATTGTTATTACTATACAAATAAGTCATTTTATTTCTAGAGTAACACTTCTGTTTTAGAGTAACACTTTTAGTTTAGAACTTTAGAACATACTTATTCCTTCATTTGGGTCCTTAATTTATGGAGCAGTTTATTCAAACATATTACGAACCCCTGGTAGGTAACAGTTGCACCTTCACTCTGTCTAGACTCTACAGCATTCCTGTTTGTCGTATACCAGCTGTTAAAACTGAGCTGACATAAATGGTCATTATTTATCAGCACCTATCACCAAATATCAACCAGCATTACAAGTGGTCCTCATTTATAGTGACTGTCTTGTTTAGCAACTGTTTCCAGCTACAATGATTATAAAAAGCAACCTGACCACCAGTCCTTGGTCTTATAACATTTGCAGGTCTATAAAGTAAAATAAAACTGAAATAAGATCATAAGCACACTTAGCAAGTATTTTGGTTATTGACCAAGTTGACATTCCCCATTATGGTCACTAAATGAGATCTACATGTATTTGGAATTAGTGGCTGAAAGCATGAGTAGCCATGGTTGCAAGGTAGGGATATACTTTATTATGTTTTCTCTTTGTTAAGGATGCTGTTTTCTCTTTGAGTTTTTCTTTCATTTTTGTGTAAAATCTATTTCACAGCTAACTCTTCAAAATGATGGGAAAATTCTACCAATTGGGACAGGCAATGACCTTCAGAAAGATTGCTATGAAAAGATACAAATAGAGATTTAAGATCATACAAAGCAATCCTTTGCCTACTCCATCTGAGATCTTTAAAGAGTTGTTAGTGTTCCTCATGTCTCAAACTCATTGATCACCAGTTTAACTCGTTGTGTTGACTGGACGTTAATTTGTTTTATTCCGTTTTTATAGTTTTGAAACTCATCTGTAAGAACTTTATCTTACAAAGGTTGGCCTATACAGGTAGTCCTTGACTTACAACCACCATTAAGCCCAAATTTTATTTTGCTAAATGAGACATTTGTTAAGTGAGTTTTGCCCCATTTAACGACTTTTCTTGCCACAGTTGTTAAGTGAATCACTGGCAATTACAGTTGTTAAATTAGAAACCCAGTAGTTAAGTGAATCTGGTTTCCCCATTGACTTTGCTTGTCAGAACATTGCGAAAGTTGATCACATGACCCTGGACACTGTAACATTCATAAGTGTGAGTCAGTTGCCAAACATCTGAATTTTGATTGCATGACCATGGGGATACTGCAACGGTTTTATGTATGAAAAACAGTCATAAGTCACTTTTTTCAGTGCTGTTGTAACTTTGAACGGTCCATAAATGAACTATTGTAAGTTGAGGACTACCTCTACATATGTATACTGTATGTACCTTTTTAAATGTATTTCCTCTGTATATGTAATGCACAAAAAAAGTGGAATATTAGAATGCATGGTTCCAATCTTTCCTGATTATTCAAAAGCTGATTGCAAGTAGACAGCTATGAACCTGAGTCTAGGTCTAGATCAAAACAATGTTTCCCCCCCCCCAAGATTCTACAAATCCTGGGAGAAGAAAGGAACTTCTATACTGCTGCAGGCAATGTGCACAGTAATGCACCTATCTGCTTGTCACCGCTTAGAGGATGGTGATGTAAAATAACTTATCAGGGAACAAAGCTTTGGCTTTCCTGCTCCTGCTGTGTACTGCAGTATCTATGCTCGCAACAAAACATGGCAGATTGCAGAAAGGAAATGATTGGCAATTGCTTGCTGACAACACTTTTTACTAGGCCGGCTGCAGAAATACATGGATTTCACAACAGCTCACTGGGGTCAGAGACAGCAAAGATAATATTTATCCTAGTTTTTTAATGAAAATTTGCAAATCACCCAAGCTGCTGTTTTTACATTAACAACGAGTCAAGTACCCTGGGAGCCTACAAATTTTAATAAATTTCCCAAAGGCCATGCCTACATTGCAAAATCAATTAAATTATCTCAATAGAAAATTATGTGTGTGTGTGTATGTGTGTGTGTGTGTTTTAAGAAAACAGAGATGCATTAAGAGCAAAGAGGAAATCTAGCAGAACCTGGTGTTTACTGTCCCCCATCCAATAGTTCCTCCATAGACTTTAACTATGGATTGTAAAGAAAGATGTTTTTAAGAAATATTTTAAATGTGTTACACAGCAGGTTTGAAAACTATTGTTTTGCATTACTTATTTTAATACTGTATCTTTAATTATTTTTTAAATCCTCTGATATTCATATGCTATAAAATTTGATGTTCAAGGCATGGACCTTTTAAAATAATAATCATTTGTTTTTAAAAAATGGTTGCACAGTAATATATACTTCAGCCTTTCTTATCTTTCATCACAACTAAAGCTTCACAAATTTTCCAGCCATAGCAGTCAGGCATCATGCTGGCTGGAAACATGAGAATGAAAATCTCACACATATGGAGGGCAGCGAATTGGAAAAGGCTGTTAGACCTGCCTGATTGGCACAACTTACAAACCATAAAATAAGTCTGCTAAGCAGAAGAAGTGATAGGCATAACTCTCTTTTAATGATGCGTAAAGACAGGTCTCCTTCTGTGCTATGTAAGGGGCTGCAAATACTGATAATCTAAGGCCGTCACAAAGCCTTGGTGTACAGAAAGTAATTGAGTGTAGACTTTCCTTGAGATTTCCCTGACAAGAAAATCCACTGTTGTGCTGCAGGAAATAATAACATAAACAATTACATTAGTATGTTTCTAATTAAGATCAGCACAGGATCACTGATTCATTTGCCACTTCGTAATAGATTGTAAGTGTAACTTTAGTGCATTTTATTTTATTTATTAGATTTTTATCTCACCATTATTACTTTATTAGTAACCCAAGGCGGTGAACATGCCTAATACTTCTTCCTTCTCTTATTTTCCCACAGCAACAACCCTGTGAGGTGGATTGGACTGAGAGACAGTGACTGGCCCAGTCACCCAGTTGGCTTTTATGCCTAAGGCAGGACTAGAACTCACAGTCTCATGGTTTCTAGACCAGCACCTTAACCATGACACCAAAATAGTTGTTATTTTGCTATTATCCCATGTTCAGGCACAGTGTCATAGGCCTCTGAACATCACTTTTTATTCCTTTATTCAGTTCATAGGCTGCCAGACACCCAATGACTCTGGGCACCTTAAAATTAAAAATAAATACCGCCCCCAACAACATATAATCAAGGAAAACCCATTCAGCAGGGGTTCAAACATCACCCTGGGAAAATAGGTATTTAGTAGCTTCTGAAAGTCTTTAGGGTGGAAGCCATCCAGAACCAGATATTAATCCACACATAGTAGAGAGAACCAAGTTTGTGGGTTCAGGATCATATCTAAAATGTTTAGAAGTTATGGCTGCATACCCATAGAATGGCTTGCCACGGAAGGCTTGTAAATTTATAAAAAAAAGCTGTAGATTTTGGTGTGGAACAATATTGTCCTCTAAATATGTATACATTAGTTATAAATATGTTACTCTAAATATTTATATGTTACTTACATGTAAGGGTGTAGTTCTATTCATATGTTGTATATAGTATGTTTTAAATGTGTGTTATGTATGTGTACACTTTGAGAGGAAGCAACTAAATTTCATTTTTAATGTGTGCTATTGTGCCCACAAGGAAAAATGACAATAAAGGTTATCTAAATCTAAATCATCTGTCAATTGACTACATGCTAAGAGGCATTTCTGGTCTCCCAAATTCTCTCCTATGTAATCTAATTTGTAAAACAGCACAACTGAGGAGAACTAAACTGCACTTTTATGACTCTACTAAAGAAGTTAAGCCTCCAGAGGCTTACTGATTTGCTGTCTAGATTTAAGGCAATGGAGAGCATTGGGTTTGATCTTGACAAAGCAAGAGTTTTTTCAAAAAGGTTACCCTATAATGCTCTACATCAGGCATGTCAAACTCGCGACATCACATGACATTGCGCAACGTATCGGAACTTTTTCCCCATTGCCAGCAATGGGGTGGGCACGGTTTTGGCGTGATGCATCCAGCTCGCAGGCCAGCAGTTTGACATGCCTGCTCTACATTCAGTAGAATTGAAAATAGCATGAGACGGAAGGAGCAAGGAAAGCTTAACTATCAATGTCTCAGCAGATGATTTTTCTCCAATCATTATCCCTACAATAAACCTCAATCCTGTACTGAAATCAAGATGTTATTAACTAATTTAATTTATTACTGTCAATTTGATATTGACTCATAGTAACCCTGTAGATAATTGGCCTAAACTATGTTTAATCTTCAGTTAGGTGGCTAATGGTTGCTAAAGAGGAATCCATAACATTGCCTCTTTTTCTCCTTTAACCTTTCTTCAGCCTGATCAAATGTATCTGATTTTTTTTTCATGACATAACTATAATATGAAAGTTGTGATTTTAAGCTTCTAATGAAAATTTAGGTTTGATGTCCTCCAATAATGATTTGTTCATCAGGCAGTATATGGTACCCACAGTAGCCTTTGCAATTGCAATTCAACAGTATCCATTTTCTTCCTGTCATATTTCTTTATTGCCAAACTTTCACATGCATTGAATGATTATTTTCCATTAAATTCTTATAAACATTTAGCAGCTAAATAGGTAGATTTTCTCCATGTCCTAAACCTAGCTTCAGGGCTTTCTGATCATCACCATCTTCTCTTTCCTTCTATTCATTTCACTATTATAAAAAATAGGTCTGAACAAGTCAGAACTTTGTACACAAAAAGATGTCTCTGAACATTTAAGGTCCTAAGTCCTCCATTTGATTTGTTACCTACTTGTAGTTTTATTATTGATTATTGAGCCAAGTAAATTGAAGTAAGATGTGTCAGAAAGTTCAGCCTATCTGGTGGCACCCTTTCCTAATAGGCTTTTGGTGGAAAGCCTTTGGGGAAAGGGAGGGTGCTAGCATTGTTCTAAATTTATTTGTTATTTACTAGGTTTATAATGGTCATCATTCAGCTCAAGGCAGTATTCAGTATGCAGTGTTGCTTTCTCCATTTCTCCCCCACTACCTTATGAGGTAGGTTGGATGGAGAAGGAGATTGTCCCAAAGTCACCCAGTGAAATTTTGTAGTTGAGACCACCATAGTTGGTAGAGGCAGGCATAGGATATCGTTTACCCAAAAGCAACCTATCTTCTAAGGCACAGGTGTCAAACTTGGCACATCATGCGACGTATCGCGACTTTGTTCGCATTGCTGGAGCTGGGGTGGGTGCGGCCTCCACATGATGCAACCGGCCTGCAGGCCGGCAGTTTGACACCCCTGTTCTAGGGGCCCACTGAAACCTTTGTAGGCATTTCTGCAAATAAATGAGGGTTCAGACTAGTGCTTTTCAACAGGCCAGCTTCCTTTTTATTAATTAGGTAGGCCAAGGAACCTAATGGTTCCTTATAGAGATATATAGGAGCATGTATTTCTGACAGATAATGTACATGTTGTGCTTTTCAGAGAGAAGACCAGAAATTTTGCTGCCCAAATACCTAAGAAACCCTTCTTCAGATGTTTAAAATTTACAACAATCACAGAAAGCAAAACTGAGAAGAAAATCATTTTGGTCTAGTTGTTAAGGCCCTGATATAAGAAATTAGGCATATCAATTGAGCAGAAAACACCCACCCACACACACACACACATGAGCAAACACTTGAAGTATCAAATATACATTTTCTTCAGAAGTTCCCCTCAAAACAGGGACAGCAGCGAAAACGGGGACATAACAATGGTAGAGTTAGTCTCCTTGAATCTTCTCAAGGTCTTAGATGATTCCAACTTTCTGCATTATATCAGGCAATGGAAAGACAATTGTCCAGCCAGAGACATGCTTGCTAGCTAGGTGAATGTTTTTTAAAAGTAGATATTCTATATTGTAACAACTTTGCAGAAGCATTTTTTTTTTTTACTGTTTGCTTCCAGATTAGATTCTGAGGGTTCTCCAGACAAGGCCACCCTTTAAGTATTCGAAGGTCCTTGTTTCTAAACCAGTCACTTCCCTAACACAAGCCCAGAAGAGTAAAGGTCAGAGCAAGGCAAAGAGCCTGTAATGTTGCTAGCCACAAAGCTAAGTCTGCTTTGGGGGAAAAGCTGTAATTCAGTGGCAGAGAATATCTAGGCTTTCTAGAGCAGTGATGGCTCTAAAACCTATATGACATTTTGGATGACAAATCAGTGCTTATCAATGCCCAACAATTATTCTCGAAAGTGGGTCTCACTCATGCCCAATTTTCAGAGGCTGTGGAGGTCGTGTGAGAATGGATGTGCTCTCCTGTGGCCTCTGGATCTTTTGGAAACTGCACAAGAATGGGGCATGCTTTCACCTGGTTTTTGGAGGCTGCAGAGGCCATAGGAGAGCATTCTCTGAAGACTTTGCGCAACCCAGAGCAGCCTCAAGGAGCCATGGTGGCTCAGTGATTAGAATGCAGTATTGCAGCTAATTCAGCTCACTGCTAGGAATTCAATCCCCACCAGCTCAAGGTTGACTCGGCTTCCATCCTTCCGAGGCCAGTAAAATGAGGACCCAGATTGTTGTGGGCAATTAGGCTGACTCCGCAAACCACTTAGAGAGGGCTGTAAAGCACTATGAAGCAGTATATAAGTCTAAGTGCTATTGCTATTGCTCAAGTATGAAGCAGTATATAAGTCTAAGTGCTATTGCTATTGCTCAAGTAGACCGCAAGTCCTGTCAACAGAGACATTAACTGAAGGTAAGCAGTGTGCGGCAGAACCTGGAGGAGTGCTGGACTGCAGGGCAAACACACCACTGCCCAAGACCCACATATCTTGGGGAAAAATGTGAGGAGCCTTTCTGAGGAGCAGCGGTGGTACTAGAGCTGAAGTTGAGTCCTGGGCCTCTACTTCAGGCCCAGCCTCAGAGCTGTTGCCAAGTGCTGTTGTTCAGCGTGGCCTAGATGTGTATGTAGAGAATTGTTTCTCTTTTGTTCAGGTTGTCTGTGTGTGTGTCATGCTAGCAGAATCAAGTTAGGCACTTTTTGAATTTTTGATACGTCAAGCCAAAAGGTTTGCCACCACTGTTACAGAGCCAGAACTTAAGGTAGCTTGTACAGCAATCCCTCCCCCAACTTAGCCAGTGACTAGACTCAGTGAGCTTGAGGGAAGAGTCACTTTGAACTGAGTCTATTTGATCCTAGGCCTGAGCTACCAAGTGTACTGTACTGTTTCTCTGTTAGGATACACAAGGTCTCAGGTTCAAGAGGTGGTTTCTACAGTTGAAAGTGTAAGAAAATGTAGCTGAGGGTAATCATGGCCTCACGATCCTGCAAAAAGGAAATGGCTCAGTGAAGCGAGTTCCTTTCTATCACTTCACACAACAGCCAACGTTTCTTAACAGAGAAGTTAAACAGGTGAAAAACTCCCTCATGTAAAATAGCTCTCTCACCAACTTTATTAAACTAATCCCTGGATCCCCTCCAGGAGGTAAATACCAGCCCTCCTATTGCTCCTTCTTGTGCACAAAGGGATTTTAATTAATAAAATTGAATCTGACTTTTTCATTACAAATAGTGCTCAGAAAGGCTGGCATTCAGATACACTAAAATAGTTAATCCAGCCTTCTGTTACTGATTTATTGAATTTTTATGCCATCAAATCCACTTAGATTTCAGCATTAGCTGAAAAAGCCAAAAGCCTCCCTGAATAAAAACATTCTCCTCCAGGTTTTGATGTTGCTTTCTTATTTTTGTGATGCCAGATTGCTTTATTATATCTATTGTAAGCCATCTTGGATATCATTTCAACAGAAAAGCTGGTGCTTTAAAAAAAATCAGAGGTTGCATCTCACAATATTTCTTAACCTGGATTTTTAATTATTCCACCATCTGTGTTTATACAATCCAATGAATCATAAATTCAGTGGATTGATTTGTACGTACAGGATGTCTCCAAAAATGCAAATCAAAGTTACCACCAAGCTAGTTTATCATGTTGTGCAAATTATGGATTTTATCCGCTTGCTTAAACATGTTGTATGTAAAGTAAGACAGAAGGCATTTGTTGTTCTTTCTGGAACATATTGTAAAATGACTGCAAAAAAGAAGCAAACAAACACAAAAGTCTTATAGTGCAACAGAGCAGAAGCCCAGTTTTGATAACCTTGCCCAACACTGATAATTGTGGCCTATAAACCTAAATAAATAAAATGATGAAATTGTAGTTCTTTCTGGCAGGAATCAGATAATAGAAAACTGATGTAAACTGGGTTCAAAACAGATAAGTGACATGTCCTCTGCCAACTGCTCCCCCCCTCACCCTTTTATCTTTAGCATGCATACAACAAGACAAACCTCTCCCAAAGGATTGCTGAGCAGACTAGGGAGATACAGCAGACTTATCAACTTCAAACCTACTAAACATTATTAAAGAGAAGGGAGTTAAGTGCTAAAGCACCTTTTACGTGTATCAAAATCTACTAACATAAAAAAAGTTGTTTAGAAACCTGCTCTCCAATGCTTTCTGAATGTGCTCAGAAAAATCGTCTTTTTTTTACCTTCTGGGCAATTTTCCATCGAAGGTACATAAGTTATGTGTGCTCTTGTTTTGCTAATACAAATAGTCCTTGACTTACGACCACAATTGAGCCCAAAACTTCTGTTGCTAAGCAAGACAATTCTTAAATGAATTTTGCCCCATTTTATGACCTTTCTTGACATAATTGCTAAGCGAATCACTGCTGCTGTTAAATTAGTAATTTGGTTGTTAAGCAGATCTTTTCCCTCCATTGACTTTGCTTGTCAGGTTGCAAATGGTGATCACATGACCGCAAGACACTGTCATAAAATATGAACTAGTTGTCAACATCTGAATTTTGATCACATGACCACGAGGATGCTGCAACAGTGGTGTGAAAAAACAGTCATAAGTCACTTTTTTCAGTGTGGTTGTAACTTTGAACGGTCACTAAATGAACTGTTGTAAGTCAAAGGCTATCTGTAGTTCCTTTTACCGTGATCTTAAGTCACAAAATGCGCCAACCAATTGTTGACACTTCCGCGTTAAGCCAGCCCAAATCCCCAAGGATGATCCCCGAACTACATAAGGCCACGTAGGCAACACTCTCTAGTCTAAAAAGTGGCCGCTTCACTCGTACCGGGCTAAGGCAGCATTGTGGGTCACCCTGAAGTCCAGCCCTAACGCACTACTGGGACCCCTTTAGACCAATCCAAGCCGCAAGCGCGCATTCCCACGCACACGCACGGCCCGCCATTCACCCACTTTGGGAGGTGCGAGGTTGCTGCGGGGTCCGCCGCCGCGGCTCTCCTCTCCGCCTGCAGGAGAGTCGCTCTTCGTTGCATGCCAGGCTATCTGAGGGCGCAGTTGGCGGGGCTTCGTCGCCGGCGTTTCCAACTCATTGCACCGGCGGCACCGCGGATCAGTTCCGTTGCGGAAGGGATCACCACCAGCCACCGCGGGGAGCCCAAAGCGAGTGGGGCGCAGCACCAGCCCCGATTCCCGCAAGAGGCGGCCCAGAAGCCGGAGACCGCTTCGCTGGTGCCCTCGGCCGGGTAGCTGAGTCTCGATTGCCCAGCTGAGTTGTACCTGGCCCGGCAGGAGCCCCGGCGCAGCCCGGGATGGGAAGCTGCCGCCAGTGCCAGCAGCAAAGCGCCCGCCGATCGCCTGGAAAGCTCCCCTGGGCAAAAACGGAGGCAGAGCGCACGGTTGGCCTAGCCACCTCATGGCAACCAGAGGTGCTGACCCGGCGCAGCCCCCCCAGCCCGGCGCGTCTGAAGCCAGGAAGGCGGCACCTCGGCCCCGAGAGAGAAGGGAAAGAGCCACCCACGGCCCTCCTCCTCCTTAAAGGGACAGCGCTTCCCGGCCTGACTAAGCGTTCAAAACAATCCACCAAGGAGACGCCGACCGGGGCGAGTTTTCTTGCTTCGTTCACGCTCTTCTTTTTTTTTTTTTTCAAAGAAAAAAACAAGAACATCCAGTTGCCTCCTGAAAAAGCACCTTTGGGACAACCGTGACTCGGATGACTGAAAATCTCCATAGACATTTTGCTCGATTTTGCCTTGGTGAACGCAGCTAATGGTTGAGGCTTTTGCGTTTTGCTCTCCCAGCCGAGCCTCGTTATTTATTACGAACTCGAATGGCAGGTGGCTATTAAGCAAATCCTGGCTAACCATAATAAGTGAACAAACGTGTACCCCCCCAAAGGGCTGTTCGTGGATTGTTTGGGGCCAATGCGGGAAATTAAAATGGTAACTAAATTTGAAGGCCAGCAGCCAAAGAAAGTTTCCTGGCCAGGTGCAGATAATATGATCACAAAGCTTTCCCCCTCCTAGCCCTAAATATTAAAAACATAAATAATTAATTGTAGATTGAATTGTATTCCTATGGGCAGTCCTAACTCTCTAGGGCAGTGTTTCTCAACCTTGACAATTTTAAGGCATGTGGACTTCAACTCCCAGAATTCCACAGCCAGCATTGCTGGCTGTGGAATTCTGGGAGTTGAAGTCCACATGGCTTAAAATTGTCAAGGTTGAGAAACACTGCTCTAGGGTAGGGCAATCTGTGGTGGAGTGTAGGCCTCTCCTGGACTCTAATATGACACCTTAATCTTTCCAAGTTCCCTGCCTTCAGATTTTTAATGTGACACAAGGAGAGATTATTAATTGCGTTAATAATAAACTTGTTTAGCTAATCAACTTTAGTTTGGGAGATGACTCTTTCAGTTTCAGCCTTTTCTATTTTGCCATTCTACTCAAAGGCTGAAAATGGTCAAGTCCTCGACTTACAACAGTTCATTTAGTGACCATTCAAAGTTACGATGACACTGAAAAAAATGATCATTTTTCAACCTTAGGACCATTGCAGTATCTTCATGGTCACATGATCAAAATTTGAATGCTTGGCAACTGACCAATATTTATGATGATTGCAGATCCCTTTTTGCGACCTTCTGACAAGCAAAGTCAATGGGGGAGCTTAACAACTGCAGTGACTCACTTAACAACTGTGCCAAGAAAAGTTGTAAAATGGGCCAAATTCACTTAACAAATGTTTCACCTAGGAATGACAATTTTGGGCTCCTTTGTGGTCGTAAGTCGAGGACTACCTGTATTATGATCCAATCCAAGGATATCCGAATACAACATCCCATGTATACATCACAGAATTGCTGGGAGTCAGGCAGCATATGCATTTAATTTATAATATAATTTCTGTATCACTCCTACCAGAGGCAATAAAGGCAGATAATGCAATAAGATATATATGATATATAAAATGTAAAATAATAAATATTTATGCCTTTGAGTCGTAATTGACTTCTGGCCACTGCCTGCTAGTTTTCTTGGCAAGATTTTTTGGAAGTGGTTTGCCCTTGTCTCCTTTTTAGGGCTGAGAGAGAGAGAGAGAGAGAGAGACTGGCTCAAAGGCAGCTAGCTGGTTGGCTTTGTGCTTAAATCAGGATTAGAACTCATGGTCTTCCAGTTTCTAGTGTGATGCCTTAACCACTATACCATATTGGCTTTTTATTACTATATATTTAGATAATACCAAAACATACACAAAATTATACACATAGATAAATGTATATCTGTGTGTATACATCTGTGTATGCGTTTGTACGCATATAAAGAGAAAGAAAGTGTCACTCGGACACTGCAAACAACATAAATACTTGTTGGTTGCCAAGTGCCTGAAACTTTATTATGTGACTGCAGAGGCATTAGGACAGTAGTAAGGGTGAGGATGGATCATAAGTCACTTTTTTCACCATTATTACTATGAATGGTTGCTAAATAAATATTCATAAGTTGATTACCTGTATCATGTTTTGGAACAAGGAGAGGGAGATGACATCAATAAAGTTTCTGCTTTTCATCATAAAGCTAACCCTAAGTGTTAGAGCTTCAAGGAGCTCCACTACCTTGCTTAACAACAGCAGTTCCATTTCCCATTGTGGTCGTAAGTTGAGAACTACCTGTATGCTTATTCAGTGCTTATGCATTGTCTTTGTTTTTCAAGGATGCCGGAAGAACATTGGCTTCTTAAAACCCATGGAAATCTTTCTGTATCTATGTGGTGGTATCATGAACCTCTTCCTATAATTCTGTTTAGGTTATGTGTGTGTGTGTGTGTGTGTGTGTGTGTGTGTGTGTATGATCATTTAGTCACACATACTATCATTTGGTCTCTGATTACTTATTCTTTCTTAGACACATCTTTACTAAGGCGTCTTTACTAAGAAAATTGTGTTAATCTACAAGGCTTCCCTACTGCTTCAGATTATAACAGATTTACAGAGATCAGGACAGTCATTTGTCCATCCAGTATGAACAAACATATGACATCTATGTGCATTTAGTACATTAAGGGTATAAATGCATCCCAGAACAGAGATTTCTTGAAGAGGGGCTTTAAGGAAGCTTTATATTCATTAAGTGGGAAGTTGAGAGCACTGAATGAAGGCTTTGTGCTTTGGGTATAATTCTAGCTTTCAAAATCCAGATTCTTTATAAAGAACGTGGAAGAGTTCCAAATATGGTTTCCCTTGTTTGGATCCTCTACATTTTATTTGTTAAAAGACTTCTCATTAATGCAGATCCCCCAAATGAATGTGCCTCATTAGTAAACATGATTTCACAGTAATCATGCCCCAATTTTCAAATTTAGAGCATTATGTACTAGAGGAAAAAAAATACAGTTGCGACATTGTTTTTTCATTTACTAGTTGATGGAGTTTTGCCTGGCTGTAGGATATCTAAACTCACTGCATTGAAACTAGTGAGTGTGTTATGTGATAACAAACATACTGAGTCCATAGATCCTTCTGACTTTAAATATTGCTGATAAACTTGTATAAAACAAAGACATCTCATTGCTGTGTATACCGTTGCAGAGGCTTAATATTGCAGATAAATGCAGCAAATGTTTATCCCAGTGACAAACCGAGCCATTTATAAAATGCATTATTTATGTACATTAATAAATTACATCTACAGCTGAGATATATCTGGGTAGTCAGTTTTTTAATATCCCCTTATGGCATTTGAAATCCATTGGTTAAAATGTTAAAATTGGGGTAGAACTATAACACATTTACAGTAGACTCACACATTATGCTAACATAAGCCAGAGGGTTATGTTTCATTTTAAAACAATGTGTGGTGTGGAACCAGTTACTGTAGTCTTTAAAATGATTTATGAGTTATTAGGACATATAAACTTGTCAAAGAAGGATGAAGAAAAAACAGGGTCAAGTGCAGTATGGGAAAAAATACAACTTTTGACAATGAAATTTGTCCTAAGACTAATGCAACTATTTTTGAAAAATAGTGGCCAATGATATAAATACCTTGCCTGTCATAGACAAAATACAGGTAGTCTTCAACTTAACAACCAGTTGCATAATAGACCCCAAAAAGGCTATTTGAATTCCCAACAACTGGTACTCCCTATGTTCACATGACCGCATTTGGGATGCTTGGCAACTGTCCTGCATTTATTGCTGTTTGCAGCAACCCACAGTCATGTGACCAGAATTTATGATGGTTTTGCTGGAAACCAGCATTTACTTCTGCTTTCTGGCAAAACCTGCCCATAGGAGAAACAATGAGTTTGTTTTAACAACAGCAGTGTTTGCTTAATGACCACAGGCATTTGTTTAATTGTTGTCCCAGAAATTTTAGGAGAGGGGGTCTTTTGCTTTTACCTTCACAATGACTAGTGCAAAAAAAAAAAAAGGTTGTAAAAACTGGGCACAATTATGTGATTGCTTTATGATCATCACGACTTAACGATTGAAATTGTGGACTCAGCTAGGGTTGTAAGTCAAGAACTATCTGTAAAAAGCTTTAAAGGAGCACCTTTCAAATAATTCTAGGAATCTCCTCAAAGTTGCCAATATTTTATGCTAATATTGAGCTGTTCTCCGTGTGTGTGCCTTAAACCTTGGTTTTCAAATTATTTTCTGTGAGCAGGCATATTAAGGTTCCTAATGAATTCACTTTCTGACAAAAACCCACAAAACCAAAGTTTTATGTCATAACGCAGTGGTGGCGAACCTATGGCACGCGTGCCAGAGGCGGCACTCAGAGCCCTCTCTGTGGGCACGTGCGCCATGCCCCGAAGATGGTAACTGTTCCTCTTCAACCAGCCGCCCACTAACTCGCTGAGGTCCCACATGGCCGGATGCATCCCAACACCCATATGTTCGCTGGCCTCTGTGTGCAGGGGCCGATGGTGTCTGGCAGCAGCCACCCCAGCCTCATCTTGCCCTGTGACAATGGCACCCGGCCCTGCCTCACCTTGCCTTGCCTCACCCAGCAGGACGAGCCTCCTGCCCACTGCCCCACTGCCAGAGACCCCCTGGATCTCCCCCAACCCTGCTCAGCACCCACAGGCATCCCTCCCCACGAGCAACATCGAGGTGATCACATCCACCTTGTCCACACCCACCCAATCTGCCATGACCACCACAGCCACGCCCAGCCAATGAGCCACGCCCACCTGGCACCCGGCGATAAATAAGTGGGTTTTGGGTTGCAGTTTGGGCATTTGGTCTCTAAAAGGTTCGCCATCACTGTCATAACAATTTTTTAAATAGCACTTCACAGAAGCTTGATCTTGCACCTCTTCAACAGCTGAAATACTTGCAGAACAAGATGCTCAGGTTACTTCTACCAGATACTAGGGGGGGGAGGGAAACCCGGCACCTCATTAAGCTACAGAGAGCAATATCTTACTCTTCAATGAGGTAGCTAAAAAACCATTCATATTTAATTTCTGTTTAGCTTTTTATGTGGCTGTCTTGTGTCCAGAGATTA